AGGACCTATAGGAGACAACTGTTTGTTTTGTGGGAGGAAGAACTCAATTTTCTACATGTTGAAATTGAGTTGCCTGAATGACATTCATATAGAGATACATTTAGTAGGTTTTTAAATATGAAAGTCAAAAACTTAGAAAAAATGTCCCAACTGAAGATAAAAATTGGGGTACCATGAGCATATAAGCAATATAGAAGTTAAGACTGTGGGTTTGAAAAAAGTTCCCCAGGGAGACCCAAAAAGAATAAGTATATTACAAGACTAACAGAAGGCTAAGGACAGAATGAACTGAATGGGGTTGTAAAATAAGACCTGAACTTAGATTTTGAATTATTAGCAATAGCCTTTTAAAATGTAAGAAACGGGGCTGGCCACTTCAGTGGCCCACGGTTCACCAGTTGGGATCCTGGCAGGGACCTACACATTGCTCATGAGGCCATGCTGCGGCAGCATCCCACAAAGAAGCAGCAGAACGACCTGCAACTAGGATATACAACTATGTACTGGGGCTTTGGGAAGAGAAAAAAGAAAAGAGGAAGATTGGCAAAAGACGTTAGCTCAGGGCCAATCCTCCTCACTCCCCACGCCCCCCAAAAAAAGCGTGACATGTAAGAAACCCAGAGTCCAAATATCTTATGATGATAGCTTTTCAAATTTTCATTTGATTAATGAAGAAATGAGCCTATTTTTTCCAGTCATAAATGACAGAAATATTTCTTCATATAAAACATTTCCATTTAGTAGAATTCACTTGAAATTCAATCATCTTTCCCCCCTAAATCTCAGCCAAAATAAGATCTGGGGCAGCTTCAGTATGATCCCAAAATTATATCTCTCCACCATCTGGCTCAACCATCATGTAGCTTTTCGTAGAACCAGTAGGTGAATCTGTTGTAATACGAGATTTTACATGCACCTGGCAGAAGGTGGGTTGAATGTTACAGCACCTGATGGCAGGCAGCTGAAAGGAACTGGCAATTCTTTCACGTCTGCCTACTCATAAACTCTAGATACAGCAGGAATATAGTAGGTAAAATTATATTTAAGCTGAAAAAAGCCTTCCTGAGTTTTCAAGTTTCAAAACTGCAAAAAGAGTGCCTTACTTCCCCAAGAATAAAATATTAAAAAGTAGAATTAGCCTGCATTTTTGTTGGAAATACTGCAATGCAAATAAAAAGGTTACTGTAATAACATCTGACAAGGAAATCATGTTTAGTAACTGTTAGTCTCATGGCACCCAACAGAGACTAGACTTTCAATAGGCACAAAATAATAGACTCTGACTACAAAGAACAATAATACAAATAAATACAAATGAACTCAAAATAGATTGTTTTTCTTATTCCTTAAAGAGGCACAAGAGTCTGAGATTTCTATGTAAATGCCTGAAGATAAAAGAATACCACATATATAGTCATTTATATAGTTAAGTATTCAGAAAATGAAATTTTGTAATTCGAACTAAGAACTACATTAATAGGACATAAATACTTTTGGTAAATGATTCATAAAGTTTGAAAACGTTTTGTACCTACCCTCTTATATGTAGTGCTTATCTGTTTATATCTAAAGTAAAATGATCCTGAGATATATTTTTGAAATACATGTTTTTTTCTTGTGGGAGCACTAAGAGATTACTAGAAGTTTTAAAAAGATATAGTTTTCAAAAAATGGTTAATACCATTCTTTGGCCTACAGAGAAATCATGTTTAATCTTATTCAGAACACAAAGATTATATCAGCTGAGTACAATCATTCTCTTTACAACTACAGAAAGTATTTAATTATTATCAGTTGAGCTAGAAGGGATTACTTACAGGAGACAAACCTGATTTAAGAAACAAACAAAAAACTAAAGAGACTTAGCAAGGTACAATGAAGCACACATCCATTCAACAAATCACTGGACACCTACTAGGTGGGAAGCATCATGCTAGGTGTAGTAAGAGAAACAAGAAGTAAAACATTCAGTTTCTATCATTGTTTACAAACTTAAGATCATTGTATAATAAGATTTAAAAAGTAACATAAAAGATTATAAAGCAACATATGATTAAATATCAAATTATTAATGTGAACAATAAGATCTAAGGAGAGCTTACATTCAGCTCTTGAAGGCACATCCAGCCCATGCACATCCAGCACATGTACTTAGTGTAGTTTTTACTACAAGAGGTCAATCAGATTCTTGAAATTATTATAATTTTAGAAAAATGTAGCAGCAGTACTGGGGTGGCAGTGTCTCACTATTCAGCCCCTCCAGCTGGAGAAGGGGAAAAGGAATAACTGGGTAGAAAATTAGAATAAACGACCACTAAAGTCACTTCCTTAGGTCTACAGTTCTTCCTTGATTTAAGAACATATGAAATCTGAAATATAGTCCAGTACAATGTATGAAAACAAACTAATAAAGCACTGACATGTTGTCTAAAACAATGGTTTTCTAACTCCAAGGCAACAGTTTTCAAACTCTGGTGAACATCTAAATACATCTAATAACATCTAAATGACTAGATAACTTGTTAAACCTTGTAGATGCCTATGTACTACCTCAAATCTTTGGAATTACAATCTTAGAAAAGTGCAGTCAGGGCGTTTGCATTTTGAGCAGCTCCCCAGGTGATTCTGATGCACAGTGTGAGATTAAGTGTTATATGATTAAATACAAAGTGTTCAGTGGCAAGGAAACATGGGTTCAATGCCAGTTCTAATACTAGCACTGTGACCACCAAGTGGCCTCTCTATCACTATTTGTAATCTTTAAAAAGGGGGAAACGCCATCCATACCTCAAGTGATTGTTGTGAGGATTAAAAATGATGATGCACATTTACACTTAGTACAATTCCTGGCACAGTTAGTAAGCATTCAATGGATTCATTCATTTATCAAACATTTATTAAGCAATTACACAGTATCAGGAGATGAGGAACATCTCATTAATTTCTTAAGTATTAATAAATATGGCAATTCTACAATGGTGTCATGAGAACATATCATTAGGAGAATGCATCCTAATCAGGAAAGTCTTGCCTGAAGTGAGCTGAACGAAGGCATTAACTTGATAAAAAGGAAAGGAAGTACATTTCCAGGCAGAGGAAGCATCATAACCAAAAGCTACGTACCTGAAGCACAACAGAAAGAACAGGTGACTAGAGGAGAAAGAAATGCCAGAAAGCACTGTGGAGATGAATGGAAAGGCAATTGGGGGTGGGGGGTCCAAAACAGGCTGTTAAGGATTTTACTTTCTCTTAAAAACAATGAAAGCCACTGAAAGGTTTTAAACATGGAGACAATGTAATTAGATCTGCATTTTGAAAAAGTCACTCAGTGTCTGGTGTGGAAAACTACAAAGGAGGCCACAGTAAATGCACACAGACCACAAATAGGAGGCTCATAATACTTCAGATGAGAGATGATAAGAGATGGTGGCTGGAACTAGAGTCCTAGCGGTGAAGATGAAGGAGAGACTCAAGAGATATTCAAGAGGCAAAATCAACAGAATTTCATGAGGCTGACAGGCATGAGAGAGAAGTTGTCAAACTTCTACTCCTATAGAAAGGGATGGATGATGAAGATAGTTACTTGAGTTAAATATAACAAGAGGACATATTTTTCTTGGCGGGTAAATCATCAACTTCAAACATGCGGGTACGAGTAGCTATTCCCAATTACAAGGTTGATTCATAGAGAAATATTCCATTGCATGGAAGTACAATGCGCCTGAATTTATTTTTTGAGTGTTTATGGATCTTTAGAGACAAAAGGTTTCTGCCTGTGTGTAAAGTGGATCTGAAGAGAATGAAGGTCTTTCCCTTCCTTTAGCTTCCTTTCCTTTACACAATCTCCCAAAAGAATCTTTTATGACTACAGCTTAATATTGTCTCAAGAAGTTTATTTATACAATTATCTAATAAGTCATTTTTAAACATTTTAAAAATTAATATTAGAATACAACAGGAAGCCAAACCAAAAAAAAAAGCCTGCAAAGTCCAAAAGGAAGCTTCAAGCGCCAGACTTTCAAGCCATTACCAGAACATCACCAGGTTTTACAGTGACAAGCCAGTTTGGAGCATTTTAGTTAAATTATATTAATTTTCCAGGAAAGGCATGCGAATGTAACTTAGAAAACTTCTTATTCATAGAATCCAATTTGTAAAAAAAAAGTCATCATACAGATAATCCCTGAATTTGATATACAAAAAAACTAGTCTGCAACTTAAAATTGTAAGTCACCACTGACATAGAGCTTCTAAGTCGCTTTGAGTCTGGAGTCTCATGAAGACTGTTATAAGGGTTGACTGGACAATATTGGTCTTACTAATTATTGATCATCAGTATGTATTCAGTCGGATCCCAAGAAGTTTTTGCAAGCTTTATGGGTCTAAACCTTCCTCCATCCTTTCTCTCCCGCTTAGAAAAACAAGAGTGCAGGAGCCACCAAGGGGGGTTTTCGTCTGAACAAAACAGATGCCCCACCCACCTCATACACAATAACCTTCCGTTCCAGAACTACAGCTACTGTCAGAAAAGGACGCCGGACAGTAGGGCCCTGGTTGGTAACTAGGTTATCAGAGGTGGACCTCAGAACAGAGGGGAGCTGTCTCACCTAGTCCCGGAGAAGTGTCCAATTTCCCAAAAGAGACCCAAGATCTCCACCACGGAAACCCGAGCTGCCGAGCCAGAGAGGGAGGCTCTCCCTCCGGCACACGGCTCCGGCCCCGGCTCTCCCGCCACTTCAAGGCCTCTTCAGGGGACTCGGGCCTCTCGGATCCGCTCCCCGGAGCTCCCCGCTCCCCCAGCCCGCCTTCGCGCGGGCGCCCACCGCCCCGCCAGCCCGGTCCGCAAGCCCGTCACCAGGCAACAGTCGCCAACCCCGGGGGCCTTGGGAGGCCTACCCCTGACGTGGGTCCTTCCCCGTTCCCTCCCCGCTGGCCTTGGGAGCCCAGGCGGGAGCCCGGCGGGGAGGCAGGTCGCTCGGTGGCCATGGGCGGTCACTCACCTCTTCCTCTCTTCTCCCGGGAGGGGCGGTACGGGGGCTCGTCTCCCCCGCCCCCCCAAACGCCTCCTGGCTGCTCCGGCTCAGCCTCGGCGCCTGGCCGCTGCCGCCGGCTTACTCCATCGCCTCCTCCACCCGCCCGGCCTCAAAGACTGGAGCCAGAGGAGGGAAGAGGGAGGGGAGGGGAGGGACTGGGGAGGAAGAGTACGGGAGAATGAAGACCAAAAGACCAGCCGGCCAGGGCATGACGTCACTTCCGGCTGACTCGGAAGGGGCGGGGCCGGGGCTTCCCTGGCCTCCGCCTCCCGAGTCAGGTGAGGGAGGGGTTACGAGCCTGGGCGGAGCCTGCGTGCGAGCTTATGGCGGTTCTTTTGACTCCGCGGTTCCGTATCCTTGGCAGCCAGAGCGAGCTTCCTGGCCCAGGGCGGAGCGGGCAGAGTTTCGTGAGCCCTAGAAGTGGCTTGTGCCGGAAAAGGAGGACAGGTAGCCCTATAGATCCTACCCAAATGGGTACTGAAGGGGAGGGCAGCTGTGGGGAGCGGAGGTTTTGGACTTTGCTCCTCAGGCTTCTAGGGTCTGTCCCTTTGCTGGCCCCGCCCTTTTCCCGGCCCACCTGCCCTCTCCGGTCCCGGACTCCGAACCGCGACTCTGCCTTTTCGGGAGCTACTCTTCGTGGGGAGTCCGGGAAAGCAATGCTTCTCGAACCTTAATATGCACACGAATCATTTGGGGACTTTGTTAAAATGCAGTTTGGATTCAGGAGTAGGGTCTGATACCCTGCCTTTCTAATAAATTCCCCGATGACTCCAGTGCTGCTGGTCAGCAGGCTACACTTCGAACAATGGGTTAAAGTACCAGATGGCAGCTTCCTTGAGCACGGGGACTCTTTCTTTAACCTAACCTACCTGTTTAAAGAAGGTTAGAGGCAGATGGTATACGGAAAATAGCCTTGTTTCCACCGCCCATAGACCCCAGCCTTCTCCACTCCACCCCTTCACTCCCTGTCCCTACCTGCCCATCACCCCCCTCTTCCAACGCCCCCATTTCCACTCCTCGCCCTCCAGCCTCCACTCCTGTCTCGAGGCACTGTCCACCATGTCTCGGTCTAACATTTCATGGAAGGACAGGCGGACAGCTTCTGTTACAAAAGGAATTTGAAGGTGATGGGCTTTTATTTCTGTCATTTTGTCATAAACATCAGATTATTATGTACAGTTGGGCATACTGTTTCCACTTATTCATAGTCAAAAAAGGAGAGAGCTTAAATTCTTGGATTCTAAAAAAAAAATAATCTAGAAACAACATTCTAGATGTTTCAACTTGTTCTCTTATTCTTAAATTTTTTTAATTAAAAATTTACTGAGGTGGAGGGGAATGAGTAGTGATTGCTAACTGGATGGTTTCTTTTTGAAACGATGAAATGGTCTGGAATTAGTGATAGTGCTCAACTTTGTGAATGTACTAAAAACCCATAGAATTGTACACTTTAAAAGGGTGAATTTTGTGGTATGTAAATTATGTCTCAATAAAAACATTAGTCTCCAATTAATTTAAAAATATTATAAAAATTAAGAAATATATAGAATAAAAAACGAACATCCTCTTTCATTGCAATCCTATTTCCAACAGGTTAATAGTTTGAAGTTTATCCTTCCAGACTTTTCTTTCTTTTTATTTACATATATTTGTGTGTAGGTTGGGAATTCATTTTTACATAACTGAGATGGTATTATACAAATTGTTCTGCCCAATTTCTTGGGTTTTGTTTTTGTTTTGTTTTGTTTCTCCTACTTAATGAGATCCTTCCATGCTATAAACCTCGTTCTTCCTAATGGCTGCTTAATATTGCATAGTAAGTCTGTGCCGTAGTTTATTTAACTATTCTCCAGGTGATGGACATTTTTATTGTTTGCACGTTTTCCTTATTCCTCACAAACTCTTCTTTTTTAAACAAGAACACACTGGCAGATAAATTGATTAGTTTTATTCAGCTCCTTGCCCTGGATCTCTTTCATGAAGGGCTTGCCATTGGTCAAAAAGGCAAAAAGAAGGAAAAAGCAAAGATCCTGGTGAAGCCAGAGCTCTGTAATGATCAAGATTCCAATGTGTGTGTGTGTATTCCTTTTAAATGTGCCCTGAAATAATATTCTTCAAGATTAAGTATAGCTAGCAGTTAATCATGTAATGTTAAGAGTATATAAATTCACATAATAATATATTTCATATCAGTAAAGCAAGTTCCTAGGTTTACTCTGTTTTTATTGGCAGACAAACATGGTGCAATCTTAGTAGATATATTATGGTTTATATAAGTGGGAGGAGGAGAAACTTAAAGACTTTGGCAGCAGATATGCCATAAGAAAGCATAAGGTTGTCAAAACTGAAAAACTTACATATTTTTGTGTAATCTAAATTCATTAGAAACATATTTTTAATTTTCTTTTTCAGGATGCTCTGGTCCTTTTCAAGCTACTCACCTATGGGATGGTATTATTCACTCCCTTCAAACTCAAGTGGAAATAAAAAGGAGGAGGCATCATTTACGAACATACAAAGACTGTTTTACTGGTTCTGATGCTGTCGATGTAGTATTAAGTCATCTTATGCAAAATATGTGCCTAAGTAGTAATGACATCTCTCGTCTTAAAGGAGTTCGTCTTTGCCGAGTTCTAATGAACCATAAAGTATTTGAACCCGTAGGAATGAGGCTATTCAAAAATGAAAAGGAATTGGAATTTGAAGATTCAAACAATAGTCTCTACAGGTTTCTAGACAATAAATCATCTTATGTTTCTTGCAAAAGAAAAAAGGATTCTGAGAATGGGTTAACGGATGAAATGAAAGCAAAGGAATCTTTAAGGTTAGTGTTAACCAAGATACTGTAATATATTGTGTTTAGACTCTGGCAGAACGGTCGTCGTTCAGCTAAACTTGAATGTTATGCATTCAGTTTTTTTCAGAAGTCAGTAAGAGAAATAGCCATGTAAAAATTAATTAATTTCTGCATTTACTCTAAAACTGTTGTGGAGGACATTATCACATAAATTTTTTAGAATTTATACCAGGAAAAACTGTGTCTCCTTTGATGAATTGTATGCTTCCTAATTTTGAACAATGACTTAGCCAAAGTTTAAAAAAACCAAGCTTATCTGGAAACTCAGAGCAAGAATTTTCTACTTCATCATAGTAACCATGTTAATCTGAGAATTCATATTTTTTCTCTTTACTTACTGTCCTAATTTGTCCTCTTCTGGTGATAATCTATTATCTAATAAACTTATTATTTGTGTCTTTTATTGTAAGTTGCCTGAAATCCTTTTGGAAATAGGGAATGTGTAAATAAGTTTTAATAAATAAATTAAAATGTATATTTGAAATTTTGGTCTTGTATATAACAGGAAAATCCACATATTATTTCTTAACAGACAAGAAGATGAAATTATTTCAAATCCTCTAGCACAAGAGATTGGTGAGGACAGACTTGAGGAACTTATTCATACAATGAATGGGAATCTGGTTTTACCTCCAAATACCATGGTTGATAAACCTGTTCTGCCCATTTCAAAAGAAGGTAATTTCAGTTTTCATTATTTTTTTTCAGAACTTTGTAAGGAAGAACTGACTTTTTTTTTAATAGACTTTATTTTTTAGAACAGTTTTAGGTTCACGGAAAAATTGAGTATAAAGTTCAGAGAGTTCCCATATACCCCCTGGCCCAACACTTACACAGCCTCCCTCACTGTCAACATCCTGTACCAGAGTGGTACATTTGTTACAATCCCTGAATCTATTTTGATACATCATTATTACCCAAAGCCCAAGTTTACATTAATGTTCACTCTTGGTGGTATATATTATATGGGTTTTAACAAATGTATCCACCATTTGACACATGTATCCACCATTATAGTTTCATACAGAATAGCTTCACAGCCCTAAAAATCCTCTATGCTTCCATGATTCATCCTTCCCTTCCCCTAACCCCTGGCAACCACTGATCTTTTTACTGTCTCCATGAACTGACTTTTCAGATATGATAAAAATAGTGTTTGGTGTATTGACTCTCTACTCCTCTTCCCTGTAAGAGTTTCCTTCTACAAAGTGATTGCATCAGACAAAACAGGTGAGGCAGCATAGATCCAATAACATTTAGTTTGTTTTTTTACAATGACCATGATCAGATTAACTGGAGGTGTTATAGTCTATACTACCAGAAAAAACATGCGAACTCAGTACCAGTGCTTATTATTTATAATCCAAGACCATCTTCTTATGAGCATAGATCCTTTGTCCTTCGTATAAACACCTCCCAAACATCTCCCTGCCCTTTGCCTTTCAAAACAAACTAGCTAGGCTACCTGTGGTTCTACTCCTTTTTACTATTTATTTCATCTGCTTGTGGTTTTCTCTTGATAATGCCACTAATTATAATGCCACTAACGGTGGAAAGAAGAACTCCATACTGAGGGCAATTAGGAGGGATGCATACACAATTAATGGTTACACTGTACTGCATTTGGTCAAACCATGACAGAAGTAAGACAAGCATGATTTGCACACTGGAGGAGCAAGATTATCAACAGTAATTAGGAGAAGCGTAATAAGGGAAATACAAGATGCCCAAAGAAAGGGTGTAGAATGAGAAGAGAAGAGGAACTAGAAGAGAACTCTGAGGAAGACTAATATTTGGAAGACAGGCAGAAGAAGAAGAGCCAACAAAAGTACAGTTTTTATCTATTACAAATGAAAAATCAACTTGTCCCATCATTTTCCCTTGAGGATATGGGGTACCTCTAGAAATTTCTAAATAAAGATGGATGTAATTTATCAGTGATGATACTAATAAAAATAATTTCCACTCATTGGGTCTTTCTCTGTGCTAAGCAATTTGTTGTGCATTTTATATTATCTATAATCTAACAATAAGCCTATAAAGTGACAGGTAAAACTCCCATTTTACAGTTGGGGAAACTGAGAAGGATAAATAAATAAATTGTCACAGTAGGAAAGGAAAGCTGGCACTCTTATATACTTCTTTAAACATTTTTATTTTTATCTTTGTTATACATGTACATGAGCCAGCCCTCGTGGTCTAGTGGTTAAGATTCGACACTCTCTGCCACCTGAGTTCGTTTCCTGGTGAGGGAACCACATTACTGTCTGTCGGTGCTCATACTGTGGTGGCTGCATGTTGCTTTGATGCTGACAGCTGTGTGACCAGTATTTCAAATTCCAGCAGTGTCATCCATGGTGGGCAGGTTTCAGTAGAGCTTCCAGACTAAGACAGACTAGGAAGGCCACCCACTTCTGAAAGAATTGGCCATGAAAACCCTATGAATAGCAGTGGAGCATGTCTGATATAGCACTGAAAGGTGAGAGGATGGCACCAAAAGACCCAGGAGGGTTCCACCCTGCTGTACACAGGGTCACTGGGAGTCAGAATCAACTCAACAGCACTAATGACAAATTTTGTAGAAAGTTCCTCATTTTGGGTTTGTCTTTGCTCAAATATCACCTTCCCAAAATAGTTCCCACACCTTATTTAAAAATGCAGCACTATCCCACAGCACTACTTCTCTCCTTTTCTGCTTAATTTCTCTGCATGGAACTTACAACTGATACACTACATATTTCACTTTTTGTTTGTTTGTTTATTGTCTGCTTCCCTCCACCCACTAGAATATAAGCTCCATTAGGGCAAGGATTTTTGCCTGTTTTGGTTACCACTATATCCCTGGCACCTACAACAGTGCCTAGCACAAAATAGATCTCAATAAATATTTGCTGAATAAATGAATGTTCTGTCTTGATGCTCTTGCAAAATAATCTTTTTTCTACTTTTGGACTTATTCATAATATATCTATTTATACTTCTTGGTGACTTGATAAAATTTGGCTTCACTCATTTCTTATGTGACTATCCTTGCCTCCTTAGGGTGTGGCTGCTGAAGATCCACTATTTTTTATGTATCTTTTTCTAGCACGTGGTTCAGTGCCATGCCCAAAGGTTGGCTTTGACAAATGTGTACTGATTGATTAGAGGCTATTTATGATCTCAGGTCTTTACTAAAAGACTGTTAATTCAATTTCTTTTTGGCCAATAACTCAGAAGTAGCAAATTCAGATGCCTTTAGGAGCCAGCAAGATCAGAGAGCCAGTGAGTACTTAATTATCAAATATGTACGAAGAATATATACCATTGTTTTGCTTGACTTGCATGACTCTCTCAGGCTGTTTTTCCTTTTCCCACTTAACACAAAGATATCAGTACGGGGAAATTGATTTTTACTGTAGCAAAATCAACATGACAGTACCACGAAAATGGTAACTGACACTCAGCTTCACTGCTGGGGATGCAGTGGAGAGAGGAGGGGTTTGTGGTGAATTGGAAATAATATGCCAATACAAAAGGGATGGCCACTAATTCACATCGGCTGACTTTGGTCAGGCATTAATTCAAGCCCAGTGTTATGCGATCTTATGGTTTTGTTTTTGTTTTTGGAAGATTAGCCCTGAGCTAACTACTGGCAATCCTCCTCTTTTTGCTGAGGAACACTGGCCCTGAGCTAACATCCATGCCCATCTTCCTCTATACATGTGATGCCTACCACAGCATGGCTTTTGCCAAGCGGTGCTATGTCCACACCCAGGATCCGAACCTGCGAACCCCAGGCCGCCAAGAAGAAGAACGTGTGAACTTAATCTGCTGCGCCACGAGGCTGGCCCCAAGACCTTATGATTTTTTTAAACAGAGGCTTGAAACCCAGAATTTTACATGAAATCTCCCATTTTTATATGTTAGTTTGATTCAAAATACTTTATAACCAAACAAGTCATGGCTATGGTCCAAATTTAATGCATAGGCTACTGGCTTGGGAGCTCTGCAAGAGATTTACTAGCACTGTTGCTATTATAATTTTGTTTCATTTAAAGGACAAACAAAACATTAATTATGATCTGATGATTAGGATAATGAAAAACTTAATTAACTCTTAACAGGAATGACCAGATACCCAAGTTAAGATTACCCTAATTCTGTATTTTAATTTAAAAACAATAAACTACAATTATCATGCTGCTTTGAATAAAATTGTAAATAATCAGTAATCTCAGATGTACAAAATAATTTATAAGCATCAAAAAAATCACGACCGGTAGCTTTTTATATTTGGAATTAACTTATTGTTGGCCTTAAAAGCTAGATAATATCACTTTATAATCAACATAACCAGAAAATAAAATCGATATGGCTCATAACCCTGATGTTTATGTAAAGGTCAATCTTGAAAGAAAAATTGTAATTTAGCAAATTTAAATTATCCTAGCATTAATTTAACCCATTATATTATATTAAGGTAGCTTTTCTTTTGTATTATTTACAAACTAAAAAATTTTATAATATTGGCTGAATGTATGTATGTTATTTATCAATCTGAAAGGTAACATTATTTTTCTTTCTAAGCTGTGGAAGAAGTTTGGAAACAACAAACATTGTTACATATTCTTCAATTGATTCACCTTCCATTCTTGGAAAATATTTTGGAGCCTCCAGTTAAAACACAAAATCATCAATTAAGTAAAGAGGAAGATCTCATTATCTCAAACACTTGTCTAGACAGAGAGATTATTCCAAGCTTATGTCTAACTGAGTAAGTGACCATTTTTATTATCAAATAATTTATAACTAAAAAATTCTTTCCAGTATTTTGTCCTTGGTATTTTAAGATATGAGAACATATCCACATGTATAAGCTGACATCATCTCTGTTTTGTAAATTAATCACTGTGAATTCTCATTTGATCTGCTGTAGAAAGTCACTGGTTATGACCAGCAAGATCATCATTGGAAATCAGAATGATTTCATTCATATGAATTCACTCATGATTTGTCAATCATCCTTTCCCTTCACCAGCCCTGAGTGTTTTCCAAAGTTTTCTTATTTCTGTTTTATAACCCTAAAATAACATAACCATCACAGTTTCTACCAGTTTATTTATCCTTGCCCTTAAAGAATCTACAGTCTAGTAGGGGAGACATTCATGAAATAAAACATTATAGTCCAGTGAGATAAGGCCTATCATAAAATATTTGTAGAGAAGATGTTCAGGGAACCCAGTAACCTGGGTGAGGCTCTGTTCTCTTTCACTCCCAACTCCAGGATATTTGTAACTCCTGAATAAACCGGCTGCTAGGAACTGTAGGTATAAGACCTTGAGTACTGTTGGGATTCCAGCAGCAAGAAGTGATATCATGCTTTCTCCTCCATGGGCCAAATAACAAAAGAACATCAGACTCCAGGCTGAGGACCGGAAACCTTCAGATCCTGAGAAGAGGTTGGCGATCAGAGACCTGTGGACCCACTTAGATAGTCAGCCGTAGTCTTGTTTGTATGTACCTGGCAGGCTTCCCTAATTCACAATAGGCCAAGAAAGACCCAAACAAATGGCTGAGTCTTCCCCAACGTCCGAGTCAGGAAGAGTATAGAGACGCCAGCAAAGAAACGGAATTTCTTTAGGTGCCTCTGCAGGAAACTGACAGTAGCCAGTTGGTCTTTATAAGCTTCCAGGTAGAAAGGGTAAGTTACATGCAAGAGAAAAGCAATCCAACTGTCATTAATCTTTTCATCTGCAACACTAGGATCTAGAAGATAATGAGTCACACGTGTTAGGCAAGATGCACCACCTGTCGGGGGGAAAAAGAGAAGGAAGGAAAGAGGGAAAAGGGAAGAAGGAAAGATATTTGAGGATTATCAAGAATTCATAGAGTATATCACTCAGAAAACCCATCTTATGAAAATATTTGAGAAAAGATTTTAATCAGACTACAAAGAAATAACCAGAACTCCAAGATGGAAATAGATGAAGAGGAAAGAAAACATTGGTAGGCAATGTGCTCTCTTACTGTTTTCTCTTTCTGATTTTGTACCCACATGTGCGCTTGCACGCATACACACACACACACACACACACACAAACATATTAATTCCAAGTTGATATGGTAAGGCTGTGTGGGAATGTTTAAGTGCTAAATAAGAAGTCAAAACAGAAGGGACCTAGTATTAAGGGAAATTTTAATAAATACTAACCTGACTGCAAAACCTGGGGATTGGCAAGGTGGCAGATGAAGAGAAGGGAATTAAAGGCCTTCCAAAGGCATCACTGAAGGGAGGGAGGAGTAAAAGGGTCCTAAATTTATTTTCTTACTGGGGTAGAGAGATAAGAAAGGGAAAACAGTGTGTGGTGGGATAGACAGTGCATCTTGATTGGGGAAATATTTGGTATCTTATTTTCAAATAATAATAGAACTATAGGAACCTAATGATTGGACTGGGGAAAGGTGGGGGGGAGCACAATGGAATGGAACAGTACAGAAGAACTCCCCTGAACAAAATCTAACAAAACTAGCAATAAATAATGAAAAGGTGGTCAAAAATTTTTATTTCTTGAAAATAAAAATACAAAAGGTGTGGTGGTAATTGGTGAGGAAAAAAGCTATCCCCTCTCATTTACTCCCTCAGTCATCCAGCAAAAATTATTGAAATGATTCTCTAAAAAATAGTTTCTTCGCCCCATGGCCGAGTAGTTAGTTTCGCGTGCTCCGCTGCGGCAGCCCAGGGTTTCGCCAGTTCGAGTCCTGGGCGCAGACATGGCACTGCTCATCAGGTCATGCTGGGCCGGCATCCCACATGCCACTGCTAGAAGGACCCACAACTAAAAAAAAAATACACAACTATATACCAGGGGGCTTTGGGAGAAAAAAGAAAAAAAAAGTTTCTTTATATTTGGTTAAATAAAAGCTAGATTTTATTATATTTTGTCAAACAGCGCTTTAGATAGTCAACTGGAAATGTTAACTATTCATTTATTGTATTTTGTTTTTTACCTCCAGGGTTGATAACTGGCTTAATGCAGCAATTGAATGCTTGGAATATTTCCCTGACCAGCTAATAGTTACAGTTAGTCAGCAGTTAGTGCAAAACAGAAATGAAGAGACAAGATTGAATATACAGAAGAAGATACTCTTTGATGTGATAGTAAAATATTATAATCAAGAGAGAAATTGCCTGTTAACTGATGAGTATTTTGATATTCATTCAGGAATTATTGAACTTTTAGGTAAGAAAAAATGTTTAAACTTTAGTTTTTTACATAATAAAGCATTTTTAAAGATACAGGTTGTAGAAAATTTTACATATTATATGAGTGTTACATTTTAATATTTTTCTTCTATGGTGTCAAAGTACTTCATGGAGTCTTTTTTCACTTCACTATTGTTGCCTGCCCTGTAAAATACTATCAAGCATCCCCAGTGTAGTACTGGACATTAGCTCGAAGGTAATTATATCACAAGGACATCCTAAGAAACATATTTTGATATAGTACAGGATTATAGAACTGAGTTATCTGGAAATATTAATTTCTGATGTATTAATTTGGTGACCTTTAGCAAAATAAAAATTGAGTGATATAATATGTCACATTGTTAGCTATGTAGGTGGCCATATAATTTAATGTTAAAAACAAAATACTGTTTGATAATGCTGGATGTAACTACACAGGTGTTTGATATATTATATAGAATTATATAGAAATTTCCTGTGTATTTGAAATATTTCATAATAAAAACTTTTAAGTGTAAAAAGAAATTCACAAACCAAATATAGCATCATAGCATTTTAATTGACTACTAAGTACTATAATCTCCATTTTTTTGTCCCATGCTTTGTCTTCTTTATAACCCATGTAACAGAAAATGAGAAAGAAACAGAAGCACTTGAAGCAACACAACTATATCTAAGATTGTTGTTGCCCAACATTAGAGAAGAATTACGACGGCTTCTTGCTTTTATGGCTATTGCATCAGAAGCTAATGCCTACAAGTTACAAAAACAGGTGAAAAAATTGCAATAACAGTTTTACAATTTTATGCTGTTTTTTCTTTTAAAAACCATTCAAGCTAATATTAATCTTTCTGTTTACAGTATGATAACAAAACGGTAGTCCTGAAAACTCTTGCCAAAGCCGTTTTGCCAGCCAAATCATTTTTAAAAGTACAGGCAGAACAACTAGTCTGTTTTCTACTGGAGAATCACTCTGAGCTCTTCAAGGTATCTCTGTCATTTTGCCTGGGCATATTATTACTAACCTATTTGTGTCAAGCAAAAAGGTAAATCATTTACTTAATAATTAATTTACTGAGTACCTATAATGTGCAAAGTTTGAAGGAATGCTGTCTCCCAATATCCACTAAAGAGAAGGAAGCAGACTTAAAACAACGTCAATATTTTCAAGTATATTGATTAATTCCTTCAGCCCATTTCTGGTGCATTACTATGTGCCAGGTACTGTTCTGGGTGCTTGGGATACATCAGCAAACAAAACTACCAAAAAACCCCACGAAGATCCAGGTCCTTGAGGAGCTTATATCTAAATGAGGGACGACAGACAAAAAAAATTCACACAATAAATCATCAAGACATATAGTTTGATATAAGGCAATAAATGCAATAGGGAAAAGAAAAAGAGTAGGTTAAGGGGATCTGTGGGGGCTAGGGTAAAGGTGAGCAGAAGCCTATAGTATTAAGCAGGGTGGCCAAAGTTGGGCTCACTAAGTGAGATTTGAGCAAAGACTGGAGGGAGGAGAGAAAGTCAATGAAATGGCTGTGAGGGTTGGGGTAGTGGTTTTATGCAGAGAGAATGGTTTCTAGATCAGAGACTCTAGGGGTGATGCATGCCTGGGTGCTGACGAACAGCAAGGAAGTGATGAGCAGAGGAGGGAGTAGTATGAGATGGAGTCAGAGAGGTAGGGGCCCTTATAGGCCATTGGAGAGACTTTGCCTTTCCTTGGCATAAAACGGGGACTCATTGGAGGGTTTGAGCAGCCCATTGGCCTGATTTTACTGACGTTTATAAAGATAACTCTGGCTGTTGTGTTGAGAATAGATTGTAGAGGGGCAAGGATAGAAGCAGGAACACCTTTTAGGAGGCTGTTGTAATAATCTGGGCAAGAGATATGGTGACTTCAAACAGAGGGGTAGCAACAACAGGGTTAGTAAGACGTGGTCAGATTCTTGATATATTTTGAAACATTCTAGAAAAAGATTGTTTTTTAGCCTGACTACTATATTTTAGTATATTTTCCTATGAGAATATAAGTTCCATGAGTTCAGAAACTTGATCTGCTTATTCATCACCCAGAACTGTGCCTGGAACACAGCAATTTCCCACTAAATTTTTATTGAATGACAGAATGAACTAATGGGAACAGCTTCATGGCTGGAAATTAGCAGGACAATAGAAGCTAACAGAAAGGTAGCCTGGGGTCCAGGATGAAGGAGCTATGTGGACATGAGGTCCAGCCTTGGTAGGTCTAGGGAGTGCCCTCTGTAACAATATTAGCTGAGGGATTATTTCCCCCAAATACATATTGTAATCTGGGATTACCTTTGTGTAACCAAAACTGGAAAAGGAGTATTTATCTATTTTAAGAGAATAATGTTGTAATGTATTTTAGAGCTACTATTCACTATATGGACCATGTGATTACAATGTAAGATTATTTAGACCAGTGCTATTATGGAAGTACAAATAATTTATATTATTATTGAAGAACATTATACTAATGATTGGTTAACCTCATTTCAGAGATAGTACATACATGAACGTACAAAATAGAATTTTAAGAATTCTAAAAAAATTTCAAGTATTCATACCCATAATAATTCAGAGGCCTTCTGCTACCTGTCCCTTCTCCCCATCTGCAATCCTCTTCCACTACTCATTGGTCAAAAATATTGAGGGTTCTTTTTCTATGTTAGATTCCTGGCCCCCCAAAAATAATATTAAATATTTGAAAATACCTGTTTTTTTGTAGACACCCGTTACTTTATTGGCTCTGGTTAGTAAGAAACTTAAGAAGCTTCTACATGGAGAAGATCCAGATGCCATATCAGGTATTGATTCAAACTTGTTGTTTCTTTATCATTAAGTGTATGTTATAGCCAAGTAAGTTGGAAAGGAGCCAAGGGTGGGTAGGTAATAAACTTATAATGTGATAAAAGGTGGCTATATTAAGGTTATTTTTTAATATCTCCAGAGTAAGTTCTTCTCTAGTTCTTTTTGGAAGCCCTTTGTTTGATTACCTTTCTTCTAAAAAGGTGAAAACTTTCTCATTGCTGCTCCCAAGTCTCACCTGCCATTTTGCTTTTTACCCACCCACCTGCTTCCTTGCTCCTGTGTAATCTGTTGTCTCTTTTTCTGATTCTCACAAATTCTCTTGTTTCTTATTCTCTCCCCTGCCCTCTTCTTTTCTAGGAAATGACCAAGTTTTATAGAGGAGGTCCTGACCCTCTCAGTTTGATAGACTCCGTAATTCCTTTCATTCAGTGTCTTGTGGCAATTGACCTGATTCCTTAACTTAGAATTTCTTTAAACTGTAAAATATTATTTAATACAAATTTCCTAAGATTGTCATGTGAGAGACAAAAAAGCATAATAGATATAACTGTGGGTGCCAGGGCCAAATTGCCCAGGCAAGTCATTTAACCTCTTTGTGCTTCCTCATCTACAAAATGGGAATAATAATAGCATCTACCTCACAGGGTAGTTGTTAAATATTTAATATTTATGTTAATAATATATTACTATAAATTATAAATATAAATATCTAAATTGTATTATTATTTAAATATCAAATACTATTATTGTTTAATATTAGTTGACACTAATATTGAGCCCTACAATGTGTCAGACACTGCTGAGCACTAACATGGATTGTGAAATTATTTATTATACAGAATAATCTACTATGTAGGCATTATTATCATCATCCCATTTTATAGGTAAGATAACTGAAGCTTAGAGAGGTTAAGTAGTTGGCCAACTAGAAAAGTAGGTAACATTTTTTTCATTAAAAAAAAAAGTTTCGACCCAGCCCTGATGGCCTAGTGGTTAAAGTTCGGGGCTCTCACTGCTTCTGCTGCCCAGGTTCGTTTCCTGGTTGCAGAACCACACTACCTGTCTGTCAGTTGCCATGCTGTGATGGCAGCTCACATAGAAGACCTAGAAGGATTTACAACTAGGATATACAACTATGCACTGGGGCTTTGGGAAGGAAAAAAAAAGAAGATTGGCAACAGATGTTAGCTCAGGGCAAATCTTTCCTTGCAAAAAAAAAGGTGGGGGGGCAGCTGGCTGGCACAGCAGCTAAGTTCACATTGCGCTTCGGTGGCCTGGGGTTCACCAGTTTGGATCCCGGATGTGGACCTACACACCGCTTGTCAAGCCATGCTGTGACAGGCATCCCACATAAAATAGAGGAAGATGGGCACGGAGGTTGGCTCAGGGCCAGTCTTCCTCAGTAAAAAGAGGATTGGCGGCAGATGTTAGCTCAGGGCTAATCTTCCTCAAATAAAAATAAAAGTTTCTAGGGCATTACTAACTTTTAGAAAAACATTCATAGAGTAGGGCATAAACTTATTTACCTGAATTACTTGGAATTTCTCAGCTAATAGATGCCTTTTTCCCTCATTCCATTCTTTGAACACAGGACAAATGGCAACAGGTATGTTGCCACATGCATCCTGTCTGTTTGATACAGTTAAACAGTGATACTGATGAAGTATTCTGAAGCTAACATCTGGATTCTTTTTGGATTAATTTGATCTCATCTGACTAATTTCAAAACAAACTTCATTTGGCTGCCATTACTACATTAGCTTTTCACATTCAATTTTCTGTTACTTTTGGTTTTTGAGGAAAATGGAGGGATTGTAGGCATTTTAATATTTATTTGCATTCACCATTCATTCAACAATATGCCTTAAAGGGAAATAATGATTATAAGTGTTTTGCACTGTGCCCTGTGCTACAAGCACTTGGCAAGTGGAGAGTTATGTGATATTTTCCCTAAATATCTTAACTATTTTGTCTCTTTTTGAAGTTTCTCTTATTCAGTAAAATTATCAGATCATACCAGTACACAACTTAATTGAATTTTTAACTCTGTGTTTTGTGTTGTATGGTCTTTTCCCCATACTTGATTACTTGAAATTCATGAGTATTGATTTAAAATACTTCTGATATCAAATATTTATCCATCTATCCAATTATTCACTATTTTTTTAATATCTTCTATGAACCAGACTTTGTATAAGCAGTAAAAAATATGAAGATGTATCAGATAATGCCTCAGCTTGCAATCAGCTCTATCCCAGTGTTCAAAGTGACTGGCACATAGTAGACATTCAGTAGATATTTGTTGAATAAAGTAATTCAGTGAAAGAGCTGATGTATGAAAGAGACAACCATTATAAATCATAATAAAATATAATAGGGATATATTCAAACCAGAGGAGGTCAGGGAAGAGGAAGAGGAGGAGGACTACCTGACCTAGTTTGAGGGGATTAGGTTAGGCTTGTGGAGGAGATAATGCCTGGTCGGAGTCTTAAAGAATCCGTAGATGTTAACCCAAAAGAGTAGAGAAGGGAAGGATATTTTGGACAGAAGGAACATTGTGAGCAAAAGTAGGTAAGTGCTAGAAACTGCAATCAAGGGGTGGCAGGAATTAAAACTAGAGAAATAGATAGATGTTTGGTCATGAAGCACCTCATTTAGCAATCAAGGAATTCAATAGGCAGTTAGAGAGGCATTGAAAATTATTTTTAAGAAAGTGATATGGATAGTTTTACATTTTAAATAGAGCGTGCTTAGCAGCACTATGGAGAATGGGTTGGCCAGGGGAACTGGAGGCAAGGTTCCTAGGTAGGAGACCACTGATGTAGGCCTGTACTATGGCAGAGGCCAGAAGGATGGAGAGGAAGGGACAGGTTTGAGAAATATTTAGGAGGTAAAATTGGCAACACTTGATTGTACCTGGGGGTCAGGGAGAAGGGTGATTCAAAGATGACTGTCAAGTTCCTGGGTGGGGTGACTGCCACCAATTCAGATAGAAAAACAGAGGAGGGGGAACATGTTTAGGGAGATGATTGAATCTGTTTTGGCCTTTTGGTTTAAGATACATGTGGGACATCTGGGTCCAGATTTTCAGCAGGGCAGCTGAATGTTCAATTTTTTTTTTTTTAAGATTTTATTTTTTTCCTTTTTCTCCCCAAAGCCCCCCGGTACATAGTTGTATATTCTTCGTTGTGGGTCCTTCTAGTTGTGGCATGTGGGACGCCACCTCAGCATGGCTTGATGAGCAGTGCCATGTCCGTGCCCAGGACTCGAACCAACGAAAACACTGGGCCACCTGTAGCGGAGCACGCAAACTTAACCACTCGGCCACGGGGCCAGCCCCTGGATGTTCAATTTTGAAGCTCAGGGGAGAGATCTGAGGTAGAACTAAATATCTGGGAGCATGTGGAAATTAAGGTCATTTAGAGTATGCTGAGTAAAATAAAAGGTCAAAGAGAAAACATTAAGGGACACTAATAGTCAAGGGGTGAGTAAAGAGGAACGTATGAATGAGACAGAGAAGAAATGTTAGGAGGGGAATGAGGTGAAGTCATGACCATAAAGCCAAGGAAATCTAACATTTTAAGAAAGAGGATTCCATGTGGCAGAATATCAGGACTGCCACTGACTATCTGGAGCCAATTAGTGAGAGCTGATTTAGTAGCTTGAGAGGCAAAAGCCAGGTTGCAGTGGGATGAAAAGGAATAAATGGGTAAAGAAATTAAGAGTGGATATATAATAAGAAGGGGAAGAGAGAAACTGGGCAATAACTGGGGCAATGCTAAGTCAAGCCAGAGATTTGAGCATACGGACCTGCTGAGAGGAGGGTAACAGAAGAAACGGGATATTGAAGGAAAAAAAGAGATGAGTGATGGAGCCAGGCCCTGGAGGAGGCAGGAGAAAATGCATTCAATGGCACAAGACCAAGGGTTTGCCTGAAACAAGAGGAGAGATAATGGAATAAAGGTGACAGTGTGCGGGTGTAAATAAAAGTGTAGGTCCAAGGTAGAAAGCTGAGGGAGATCATTAAGTGATGAATCCATTTTCCTTGATAAAGTAGAAGGAGGAGACCATATTGTCTGAGGAGCTGTAGGAGGACCATTGAATGGATGACATGAGAAGAAGGGAATAGTTTGAAACAGATGGTTAGGGGAATGGGAAAAGCACTTGAGAAAGGAAAAGTAAATAGATTGATGAGTAATGCCAAGCACCCAGATGAGGCAGATTATAAACTTTAGTGGTACCAATTTGGACAGTATGATTTTTCTCAGCAGCACTTATGTACTTGAGTGTTAGAGTGGAAAAGGTGGATTCAAGCACTGATTGAGAGCAGGGATTTTGCTTTGTCAGGCATTACAGAAAGATAGGAGTGCAAGATAAGTGAGGATGCACATGAGTGAGAAAGTGATTCAAATGTTCAGGTATTTGTCTGACTCATGATGGGAAAGAAGAGATGATGAACAAAGAAAAGTGGCACAGCAGGGTTTGATGTTCTGAGATTGATGATGAGTTGTGACAGAACTGAAGGCAGTATAGCATACATAGTGGTAAAGAGCATCTTAAGATTCATAGCAGATTCTGAAGAGATTTGGGTGCAGGAGTTTAAGTTTTCAGAGGCGGTGTAATTCCAGGGTATCACCATAGGTGTGTTTAAGCGAAGGCCGTTATAGTGAAGATAGGCAAAAACCCTGATATTAATGGGCTTTAGGCTTTCAAAGGTTATCTGATTAAGAACTGCTTTGGTGTGTGTGGAGGTTATGGTGTCTTAATCTGTAGATCAGCAGAGAGGCTTCGTTTACTGTACATGCTAAGACAGCTCTCAGGGAAGTGAAAAATCACTGCTCATGTTCATGAAATTCTTTGTTCATGTTTTGAACATGCCTCTTATGGGGTTCAGGACACACGACCCCAAAATATGGTACTTGGCATATTGAATATTTTAAGCTGAAGGAGTTTGAGAAAATGACAGAAGCAGGAAGGTCACTCTGAGCTCCTTCCCCAATTGCCCTTCTCCCCTGAAAGAGGCCATAAAACCCTCTTGTGAGAGGTACCCTCCCTGTACCTGGAGGAAAGGAACATCCTTATCTCCGAAGACAAAGGGACACCAAGAAGAATCCAAACAAACAGGGCTTGCTAAGTTTTCCCCAATTTATTTCAATTATCTCATACTCCTTAACCTATCATATTCCTCATTCCACGACTCTCCACTCTTCATCAAACCTAGCATAAAACATAGGTCTGTTTCTTTGAGTCTTCATTTCCTTATGAAGGCTCCCATGTCACATAAAACTTATATTAAATAAATTTGTATGCTTTTCTGTTAATCTGTCTTAATCCGTCTTTGTCAGTTTACTTTTCAGACACAGCCAGGGACCCTAGGAGGGTCAAGGAAAACTTTTTCTCCCCTATATCTCCTATTAGCCATGTGACTTAAACTCCTTGTGTATTCCTCTTGAAACTGGGATAATAGCTCCTTGCTTCTACTTCATACAATTATTTTGGAGATCAAATAAAAATATCTATGTAAAATAAGATAGTGTATGTTTGGCTAAAGTATAGAACCCTTATAAAAAACAGTATTAATGTGAAGCAAAGAAAATGTGAGCATAAGTGATATTATCTACCATATTTGGGGGAAAAAATAAGTCCAGCATAAGGCTAGTTCAGGTAAGTACATTTTAGTTTTTTTTTTTAACTTGCTTTTCCATTGTACTTTTTTTTTTAAGGCTTCACATTTTGCCAACACTTGACATACAAGGAGTTTGAAAAACGAAAGGAGAGGACGATTCAAAATCTTCACCAGTTGGCTCTTGAGATTAATAGTAACCCCAGCATCTCTTTGAAACAAAAAAAGAAATTAATCAAAGAATTTCAAAAACACCATCCAGAAGCTTTGCATTAACATTTCTGGGGCAAGAAACTATAATCTGTAAATATAAACAATTCTCTGGTGGTTTTCTCAAACTGCCATACTTACATTTCAGAGACGGAACAGTCTCCAAGCATTCTAAGTATAATCATGTTTAAAAGATATTAAGGAAGGTGGTCAAAAGGTACAAACTTCCAGTTATAAATAAGTCCTGGGGATGTAATGTACAGCATGGTGCCTATAGTTAATAATACCGTTGTATATTTGAAAGTTGATGAGAGTAGATCTTAAAAAATTTCAACAAAGTTTTTAACTTTAAAAGTGAATACAAATTAATTAAGTTCATGTATGCTGATTCACTTAATTATTATGCTGCTAAAATCACTTATTAAATGTGCTGCTATTATTAGGGATTGGGTACAGTTAACTTCCTTAGAATTTTTTTTTCCACAGAAAAGGACCATTCATACATAAGTTCTCCGAAGAAAGCATGCACTTTCCTTAGTATATATTATTTTTAAGCTACTCCCTTAGGGTACTGTAACTTAAATGCTGTGAATCATCGAAATAGGATAAGGCTTATAAAGTAGATTTTAAAAGCCACAAATTTAAAATTCATAAATATCTAAAACCATGATTTTGCCTTCTCGCTCATTCTTCTTTAGTCTATATAGTATTTTAGGGTTTTCTTCTTTCCTTCATCCCTCCCTCTTTTTTTTTTTTTAAGTTGGTTAGTTTACTTTATGGCATCATTCTCTCAATGTGACATATGTTGAGGATTCAATCCCTGTTGAAAGTTACACAGAGATGCATCTTTTTATAGTCTTAATTTATGCATTGATCACAGGGAAACAGACGCATATATCAAAAGTACTTGAAAAAATATACATTGAACTGTCATCAGTTTTATCTTTTTGTGTACCAAAACTATCAGTTGTGTTGAATTTGAAAGCTTAGAGTCAAAGTTCTCAACTGAGTCTGTAAAAAGGTTCCAGAGGGCCGAAGTTCAATGTACTTTCTGAAATGCTGTGCAATTTTTTGTGTACATGTGCATATGGCATTTTTCTAGGAAAAGGATCTGTAGCTTTCACCAGATTCTCAAAGGGGATTATGACCCAAGCACATTAAGAATCACTGAGTTAAAAAGTCAACATTGTTGATTCTGTCTTTAGAGACTATACTATATATATATATTTATATATTTTCCAAATTTTGCTTTGACTTTATAGATAAACTGTAAGTCTAAATGTCCACCTTATGTATTAAATAGGACATTAGCTAGATGAATTATGAGTTCCTGCTCAAAACAAAAAACAAAAAAAAAAATTCTGTGACATTAGAAGATATAACTGCCCTAATCTGTGTATGATTATTTTGAGTTAGGAAGGAAATTGATATACCTCCAGTAGAAGACCTGAGAGGGTGGTTCTAGAGGAACCAGGAAAATACTGGAAACATGCAGGCAAACCCTATTTATTGAAGTGGGTGTGGGGGAGACTCTCCTTATTTGTAAAGTTTCCATTTTAATATTCTGTGTGAATCAGGTGGGAAATTGCTCCCTATTACCATGAATGGCTGGCACTTTGAGAAATGCATTAAGGATGTTACCATGTCCTTGGCTCTGCTGCTCAGAAGATTCTATATAACCTTAAGCAAGTATCTTCCCTCTGAGTCTCAGTTTTGGTTGTTTTTAAATCTCTAGAATAACAATATACATGCATAGGTTTGTATTTATAAAACTGGACCAGAAATATCAAAGGTACAAGGAAGAGTGTGTGGTATGGTAGGTAACAAGAGTCTGCGCTCTGAGTCAGAGCCCTGGATTTACTACTCGACCCATTTGGGTTCAGAAGAGAAAATGTTAGCAAGTGAACGCCCTAGATCAAGGTAAAACCTGATTTAGAAACAGTCGAATTATTAGAAGTTAAGTTGTTCAGCAGTGCTGGAAATGGTTAATTATTATTTAAATTGAATTACATTTCTTGCAACATTCCCTAATGGAGCCTATTTTGATCAACATATATACTGCCATTCAATTAAATTTGTTTACAAAGAAAATGTGACTTCTATTGAATGGTTTTTGAAGGTTCTGAGGCATTAATTCCTAAAGAGAAATGCCTAAGCCAGCAGTGCCACTCCACCTAGTGACAGCTCCATAAATTACAGTTATTAGGCTTAAAAAGAATTCCCAAGGGTATTGTCATTTAATTTTAGGCTAAACCTCTTTGAGGGACTTATGTGCAAAGTATTTTTTCTCTGTACAAATAAAATCCAGCTCTACTCACTGAAAAGCTTACCTCCTATTAGAATATTAAGTAAATTTCCTTAAGAATTAACAGCCTGATTCATAATGCTTAAGACTGCTTAAACTTCTTAGATTATTCACACTCAGGTACTATCCAGGTAAATAAAAGATTTTCTAACTCAAAGAAATAAATGTTGAGACAAAACTTTTCTCTCATGTAATTTATATACACAGAGAATGTTCAAGACTGAAAGCCATTCTTGAGACATTTTTTCTGGAAATCTTTCCTCCCTGTACTCTACAAGTGGATCTGGAAGTGCTTTTATTCTGCAATTGCTTGTGTGATAGAAAGATTTTTGAATATAATAACCAAAAGGTTGTTGTTGCAGCTCCAGATTTGTCACTAAACAACTCTGTGACCGGTGATTGCTTAATTGATTCATTCACACATGTAATAATTCAACATTTGATCTGTGCCAACACAGATCTACTTCTGACCGCTGCCAGCCATATCATGCAGAACCACCTATAAACAAGATTTGAATTTTTTTTCTTTGGGAACCTCCACGAGGTCACAGATTGGGTTGAGGAAAAGGTAAACAGTGCAGTAAGAGTAAATGCTCTTGAGTGTGAGCTCATGCAGTTAGCTTGTCCAACTTGAGTTCAGTCTTGTATATATACTTCTTCCACTTGACGATGGCATGCTGCTGTGCATGCCTAACCTGCAATGGGGAAGGGAAATGATTCCAGGGAGCAGAACTGAGAGCAGCATGTCTGGTTGTTCAATTCACGTAAAGATATGGCTAAAGGTGATGGCTATTGGTTTGCATAAAGGATCAGAGACTTGAAAACTACAAGAAGCCTGGGGACTAGGAGCTTTAGGAAAGACGTGGATGGACATGTCAGAACAGGCCCAAGTGTGAGGATATCTGTGTCCTGTGTGAAAGCTCATCAAAAGGCCTCTTCCGTAGGGAAGGCTCTTCTTATCAGGTGGACAGCATAGCCTACACTGTGGATATTGGTCAGCCTCTTTCCCCAGCCATCCCACTTCTTGCTCAGTGGTGCTACATTCTAGGAAAATTCCCTCAGCTTCTTTCTCTTTTTCAGTCTTTAGTAGTGTCCGTTATGCTATTCAACCCATCAATTAAGCATAAGTAATTATATTTTTAATTTCTAAGATCTTTGTTATAGCAACTTGTTCTTGTTGCAATAGATGAAATTGCCTCATCAGTCTTAGAGAATATTATAAAGTTTCTTTTGTTTAATTTATTCCCTTAGGGGTTCATTCTTGTTTGTTGGCTTTGGTGCCTCTTTGATGGTATCAAGTATCCCTCAAATGTTTAATGCTTGGTTGTTTGTTGTTTTTTTCATTTATGAATTCCTGTTTACCTGTCGGTGAATCTAGGTTCTAATTTTGGTGCCTTTCCATGGCAAGAGGAAGGTGAGCTAAGTTCCCTAGAGCTACGCCCTGTCAGAAGTCTTTCTAATGAGGTCTGAGCTCTCTTCTTTAGCTAGAGATCAGTGCCACAATCAGCTGTTCCCTTAAATTTTGTTTTTACTCTGATATTCTTAGTGGATATGACATTATTTCAGGATCTGTTCTGTTTCTTTCTCCACCCTTAACACTGCAGTTCTTATCACTGAGCCTCAATTCCAAGAAAGGGAGTGGGGCTCAGCTGTTTCCAATTCGTTCATTTAATGATTTCCTACTCTCTGAATGTGTCCTGAATTAAAATATCTTTGGAATTGTTCTTATGTCTTTAGTAGTTTTCTCCTGCGCTGATCTGGGACATGGGTTTTCTTGTTCTTGTTTCTCTAACAATCTAATCCCATTTGATTCTAGAAATTCCTCTACATTAGTTCATCAGTGCTACCCTTTTTGCTTCCCAGAGTCACTTAATGATTTACTCTTCTATCAAAATATAACATGAACTATTTCATGCATACAACATAGATTCTAAGATAATGAAAATCCATGTGGTCACCACCCAGCTTGAGAAATACTATATCACAAATAACACTGAAGTGTTCCCTGTGCATCCCTCCTTGATCTCATTTACCTCCCTCCCTTCTCCACTGGGAATGTTTAAAGGGATTTGGGACAGGTACAAAAGCAGGTGAACATGATCAGTTTGCTACGTCAAGCCAACCACCACTGAATTAAGAAATTCAAAACCAAGAGAGATCGGGGCAGGACAGGTGGCCAGCAGTTAAGTTTGCACGTTCTGCTTTGGCAGCCAGGGGTTCGCTGGTTCAGATCCCAGGTGTGGACCTACACACCACTTGTCAAGCCATGCTGTAGCAGGCATCCCACATATAAAGTAGAGGAAGATGGGCATGGATGTTAGCTCAGGGCCAGTCTTCCCCAGTAAAAAGGAGGATTGGCCGCAGATGTTAGCTAAGGACTAATCTTCCTCAAAAAACAAAACAAAAACCAAGAGAGAACAGTCCTTGAGAGGACTGTTCTATCTTGATTACTCATTGATGTAAATCTTATTCCTCTTTTGTCTTAAGGTATATATTATGCATGACCAACGCTGGAACATGTTGCTTCCACACATGCAATTTTCAATAAAAATTATAAACTCTAATGTGGCTAAGTTCTCTTTCTACTTCTAGTGAATCTCAAATTAGGATCATCAATGTTTTTCTAAAATAATAGATATCTTTAATGCATCACCTCAGACAATGTTATTATTTAGAGCTAATGTTAAATGTTCTCTTTTAAGTCAATTTACTGTATAATATTAAAACATCTCTAGCAATAAAGTTTAAAAATTAGGTGTTAAAGTTTCAAAATTAAGTTTCCAAATTGGAAGTCTCCATTACAGGAGACTTCAGGCTAGGGCAGGTTTTGAGAATACAGCTTTGACAAATGCCCCAGCTCCTCACAGGAAAAGCCCCCTGGTTGGTGGTGATAGTATTCTGCCTGTCCAAGATGAACTTATGACAAGTCATGGAAAGCCCTCTAAATGAGGACTTAGCTTTTCCAACCACATCACCTTGAAATTCTAGCACTGTCACACTGTATGGCTGCAAAAACCTATTTTATACCACCAGCGTCTTTTTGCTACACTGCCCATGGATTATTTGCTAGTAACTGGATATCACACACACAATTTGCATCTCTGTAATGATAACCAGCTTAGGTCTAGGAAGGACTGACCAGGCCCTAACCCAATATAATCCAAATGTAACTGTAGTGGACAGCTCTTTCACCCTGCCCACCATCTGTCTCTTCAGCTTAATTTTCCTTTGGAAAACTACCTTCTTTCACTCTAGGCTACCCTAGTAGGACTGTCAGTCCCTGAAGCCAGGGGGTAGGTGTATGATCCTAACTAAGGTAAAGAGACTGGTAGGAATTTGATTCATGAGTACAATGACATAAGATAGAAAATATGGAAACTGAGATATTTTGATGGCAGGGCTCTATAAGGATCATCCCTCGGTATCTATAACTTACGTTCCTAAGGTTATCCTGGTTTTTATCCTTCCTAAGGCTACTGGTCCAGCTTTTTCTTAGATTTTATGAGCTGTCCTCTGTCCTGATAAATTTTGGTTGGCTTAGGATAGCCAAATGAGTTTCTATTGTTTGTAATCAAAGAAACTCATCTGATCCATTCATTAATGTCAGTGTCAGCTGTTTCCTTAAACTGGACAGCTGTAGTCTTTAACCTTAATAAGCTTACCGTGGATAATAAAAGCATTTTTAAACTAAATACTAACATTTGTTTTAAGAGTTTTTGACCAACCTCAACTTCAAATCTCTTTTCATCCTAAAAAATGGTACAGTATTTTTATGAGTGAAATAAGATATTTCTGCCAAACAATAGTGACCAAAAACACTTTAGTAAATTGGCTTTAGTCTCCACTCTTTCAAACTTACTCTAAGTAAAAATTAAACATTAAAGAACACATAAGATTAGACTTCCCAACCTTAGTATATATAAATAATAATGACAATTTTAAAATAAAATACTTAGTTCTAAAAGAGAGAGAAATCATATCAGCTTGAAAACACTTTGGCCAAGTCCTAGTCATAGTCACACAAAACTACCTTCTAAGGAAAATTGACCAGTGAGACAGTTAAGTTTGTGCTTTCAACTATGAACAATTACACTTAACATACATTCACTCTTTCACCTTCTAATGAAAGATGACCTACTCAGAAACAGCACAAGCATTGTTATAGTAGTCTAGCTCCTAAACGAAAATATGGGCTGAGTTACAGTTTACTTAATAAGCTAGCTAAGAAACCTTTGAAAATTAGCCATGGATCAAAGTATTTAGATAAGTTTAAGATTTTATCTTGGGATGAAAGGTAACATAGGTCCTTAACTCTTTTTAAAAAGAACACTGAAATTAAACCTTTCAGTCACAACCAGTCAAAACTTTCATTCAGAAATGTTTCTTAAATATCAAATTTCTCTTCACAGACGCTATGTCCATTTTCTTCATAATCTTCTCTTGTTACCACCATATCTTCAAAATCATCATTCTCTGATATCAATTTTCCACCTTCCCAGGCATAAGTAATAGGGCTAAAAATAAAGGTAAAATAAATTAACCCAAATGATTTTACAGAACTAAATGCGAGAAACATTAATTAGTAACTAAAATGTGGCAATCTATACTAAATCTGATTTAAAAGAAAATCATTTAAAGTGTGAAAATAAGCATAAGCTTCATAGGAGTAAAGCAAACACAGAAAGAAAGGAACCTTGGTCACCACTACAAGTCAAGTGTTCTTTTGTTTTTTTCCCTGTGCTCTCAATTTATGGACCCTCTACTTTTAATAAAAAACATAAATACAAGCAACAGATCAAAAATGCATAAAAGGAAAAACACTTTCATAACTAAGTCTAAATTCTGTACGACAAAGATATGGCATCTTATGTGCACGGCAACCCATGAAATGGCTATTATAACTCTCATTTTACAGATTTGGAAAATGAGTTTCAGAGAGGTTAAGTCTGGAACTAGGAATTAACCTGGAACTGTTTTCACACAGTCTGTGCTTTTGCTACTATACTTTATTGCCTCCAATAAGTGAAACATTTAGAAAACATAGTGCATGACAAACAGTTACAAAGTAGAACACAGACAATAAGTAAAATTACAGCAGGTAAAATATTTAGTTTAGTTTTATCTACAACCAAGGTTATACTTTGTGTTATGACTCAATTCTATTTCTACCGTTCCTCTCCCTCAACTCAGTTTCCAATCTGAAAAATGATAAAGAAAAAAGTTAATGTTTTCCTTATTAATTGCATTTCCTAACCTTTAAAAAAATCATATATATATACACACACACATATATATGCAGTAGATGTGCAATAAAGATTTGATGAATAAAAGAAGAAAAACTATTTTCTGTGGATCCCTTGGCCTGTAATGTGTGCATAACTTGCTTACATTTAAAATGCACGATAAAAAGGGGCCAGCTGAGTGGCATAGAGGTTAAGTTCGCACACTCAGCTTTGGAGGCCTTGGGTTTGCTGGTTCAGAGCCCAGGTGCAGACCTACGCACCATTTATCAAGCCACGCCATGGCAGGTGTCCCACATATAAAGTAGAGGAAGATGAGCACGGATGTTAGCTCAGGGTCAATCTTCCTCACAAAAAAAAAAAACAGCACAATAAAAATCCAGTATGCTTCATAATCTAAAGAGTATATAAACATTAATGCTGATAAAAATCATTCCAGTAGCTAATGATTGTTGATTCTTTTATCTGATAGCTATAAAAATTAAGTGATCAGATGAGGGCCTTCTATTAACTGCTTCTGATTTTGAAAAACTTCTACTTTAGCTTTAAAACAAAACTGTAAAATTAAGAGTCAGGTATGTGGGGTCTTGTTTGCAACTCTGCCACTTAAGACTGGGGCTGGAGGGTGTTAATTAGACATATATTTGGTAAGAGCTCCTGAGTCAAGGTAAAGAGAACTGGGTATTGGTCTGGTAACTGCTATTAACTCACCGTAAGGTCTTTGCCAAATCATGAGCCCTTGTTTCTTTATTTACAAAGTAAGAACATTGAACAGAATGATCTGTAAGCCTTTCTTACAGCTCTAAAATGCTACCTTAATTTTTTTTTTACCACTAAAGTAGAAATGATGATACCTTTTTCTCATAAACCAGGATAGGGGGTAGATATAAAAGAGTTTAGAATTAAAAGACCAGTTCAACGTAAAAGTTCATTGAAAATATTTTAAATTATTCCAAAACGACTTATAAACTGACATATCTTAATGATTTAATTTTTAAATCTCTATTCTTAATAGGAACTGTCAAGAAATGACACATCTCAGATAAATCAAATAGATTATAACCTGACTGCTTTGACTATAAAAATCTCTTAGGAATGAGGACTGATTTACTATATGGATGTGATCTTATATTAACTGAGCACCTATTATGTACCATTATGGTTGGCACTTTACATATTTCATCCCATGTAATCCAATGAAACGTAAGGTTTGTCATTTCAATTTTTGAGGAAAGGATAATGAGGATTCCAAAGGTGAAGTAAATCTGCCAAAACTAGGCCTTAAACTCAAATCTGCCTATAGATGGACCACTTTATCAACAAAATGACTTCCATGTTTTCCAAGGTTCCAAGTGTTCCAGCCAACACTTACTTTTCAGGCAGCACAACAGAAACATCATAATCTGTTGGAGTGAGACATCGCACTTCTGAGTAAACTCGATCTCTAAATCCTGGGAAAAGGGAATTTCCTCCTGTCAAAACAATGTTCTTAAAAAAATGCGGCTGCATTTCTTTAAGAAAAAAAAAAGGAGGAAGAAAAAAGGCATTAGAAAATCTGTTTATCTTTCTGTAAAGATGGGGATGAGGGCTTAGGTAAGAGCAATTAGATTACAGTTACTGGTTGGGAAACCATGTAATTTTTTATAACCATTAAATTATAATTTATAAGGTTTTGTAACGAGGTCATAGTTTACACAAATAGACACATTGTTCAATGTGAGCGAAGGATAACCTCATAGATCTTTAAAAGAAAGGCTAAGGTGAAGGGGTTGAACTACTGGCTACTTATTATATGCCCGTGTAAACTATATATAAATGAGTTAACATTCCACTAGCAGAAATTTGATAAATTATAATTGTTCTTCCTAAAATGAAGGAGGTCTTTCTGTAGGCTGAGATTACGACCTAGTGTTAAGGCTGAAAAAGAGGTCGTTCATGACATTTTAACTTGGGAGCCCAAATTTCCATGTTATCTGAGACAGATATATTTATGTGCAATACTTACATTTGATTGTGAAAAATACTCACAATCTATAATAATGTTTAAAGCAAGGATCTTATGTTCTATACTCATTAAAGTTACATGATGGCAAACATTAAGTGCCATATAGTGAGCCAGTATTAAAAGCCTACCAAGCATCACTGGGAAATCTATGAAGAATTAACAGATACTGGCCATCCTACCTAATGCTTCTGTTCACAAAATGAGGACAGAGTTCCCTTATATTGACATTGGGTCTCATGACATGACATTAAAGCAGTGCAGTACAAAATGCTGTATACATCATGACATCAACTTTATATAAAATGTGAAATTAATATGAAACATTAACATGAAAATAGTTGTGAAATAATTATATTAAGGTGATGGCATGATGCAACTTTCTTTGTTCATTCATTCTTTTTTTTTAAATGAGAGGAAAGGACATTGCATGTGCTAGATTTTCTCCAATGCCTAGTCTTTTCCTTATGAACTAGGAAGACACTTTAAGATATAAAAGTACTTAAAACTCAAGAATATTATTTAGTTAAGTCATGCTTCAGGAGAACTCAGACATCACTGTGAAGCACCATACTTCAACCTCATTAAAACTGACTTCCAAATATAACAGAAAAAACAAACCAGTCCCATCAACAGCAAAAATCATCTAATTGTTAAATTAGAAATTTCTATTCTGTGCAAATTTGGGTTAAATTAAAACTTTTCTAAAATGGATATGGCTTTTAATACTCATGGAGATGAATTTCTTCAAGTTTAAATAGACCATAATGACTTTCCCTATATCAAATTTACAATCTAGGACCAATAAAGTAAGAATTACTCAAGCGCATTATGAGATCTGGAAATCTCTGCAAATAAAACAGACTCACTATTTGCCTGAAATTATTTAGAAAGAACACATGACTTCTCTAGGGTTCACAGAGCTTATAATTTCTTAAAACATATCATTATTCCTTAATACTTTACTGTAACTATGTACCTTCAGGTAAGTTCTGAATTGAATAGACAATAGCTTCTGGAATTCCCATTTCTTGAATGCCAATATCAGAAGGATTAAAGAGTATTTCTGGAACAGCAAATCTCTCATTGGCCAGACGAAGAATCTGTTCCCCAGATTTATATTTTCCACTTAATACCATCTCTTCCCTTGGCTTAAAGAAAAACAAGATAAAAAGTTTAAGCTACATTATCCAGCTAACATAACTAATAACATTTAGTAATATGTAATACTAATATATTAACTGTGTTCTTGGAGGTTTCAAGATTCTCAGAAGTTAGAAAAATGTGGTCTTCTTTCCTGTTGCCTAAACCACAGAAATAAATAATTACTGACTCTAATATAGCTATTCCCCTAAAGATGATCTGTCTTTATTCCACACATTTTAAAACAGAAAGGAAGGATAACAGAGGAGAGGGAACTTCATGATCTAGTTATAATAATAGAATGATTTGAGTTTCTAGAGAACAAATATATTAGAAATAAAACCTTTACCATGTCTTATGTTTCTACCCTATCTACTTTCACTCCCCTATTTTAGATGTTTATTGGACACTGTGGCTTTATTCTATTAGGATTTCCCCATTCCCTTGTGCAAAAAAACCTCTCTCTCTAAATTTCTTTATTACTTATTCAATCTCTATTCAAAAATCAGTTTCCAAATGACTTAAGCCAATACATGGACTTTATCACTGAAATTCCCTTGCTATTTATTTTCTGCGAGATGTGTTTCTGAGGGGCCAGAGAAAAAAATTTTCTTCTACAACATTTTACACATCATTAAAATAATGGTCCCTCTCAATTTTACTAACAATCATCAGCTCTTCTATATTTGGTTATAGACATTCATTTCATTTGACTTACATTTGCAGTTTTCCTCCCATAACAGAGTATATCCCAATCCTTTAAGTATTAAAAAAACTTAAAATATATAAAAGAAATATTAACTTATTAAAGAGTAATATATATAAAGAATATTATAGATGCCTTAATATAATCAGTCATCTATTCTCTGTTCAGACTTCAGCTTACTCAGAGAGGTTTTTTCTGACTCCCAAATAAAAGGTCCCTCCAAAGATTGGCACAGATGTTAGCTCAGGGCTAATCTTCCTCAAGCAACAAAAAAAACAAAAAAGAGAGGAAGATCTCCATTATTTGCTATCACCCTCTATTATCCTTCACAGTCTTTACTGTTTGCCATCACATATCCACTACCTAGCATAGCACAGTACCAGGTACACAATAAGTATTCAATAAATATTTGAGTAACAGCATGCAAGCCAACAATGTGCCACTTATTGTATTAGGTATTTTACATACATTATTCCACTGAACTCTTACATAACCCTGTAAAGTAAGACATATTTTCCTTTTATTAATGATGCACTTGGGCTCGGCAAGGTGACATGACTTACTCAAGATCATTCATCTAATAACCAAAAGCACACACAATATATTCCTTCCACTACATTGCCTCTCTCAACCTGGATATGAATGATTACGATTTGTATCACTTAAAAATTCCATGCTCGAAACATTTTTACATAAAAAGTCCAGAAATTATACAATACTCACAATACTCTAGCAAGAACAAGGAAAACTGCAAATCACTTTTACCCAATTAGACTATTGTTACAGTAGCAAAGAGAAGAACATTACTACTTCACAAAGTACTCTTCCTTCTCAGGCAGAGTGGAAAATATTTCCTATAAATATATAAATTCATTTAAAAGTGATATTGGCTGGAGTTTAAAGGCTATAACTCATTTTGTCAACACTCAAAATAACCTGAGACAAATGCATACTTGGAGAATTTCAGTCAACAAAACATTAGAAATTATGTAGTCCACAGGCCTGATTTTACAGAGGAGGGTCATGTGGATTTCCCAGGATAAAATATCTAACTGGGGCAAAGAGAAGAACTAGATATCCTTGTTGAATGTTAGCTCTAAAGCCATTAATCGTTAATATGTAATCTGGAACTGCAAGTAGGTTCCCAAAAAGATTTTTGTTTTAGACATAGACAAATGAAGGAATTTAGAAGCGCTGCTAGGAGTTGCTGTTGAGTCAATGTAGGCCATGATTACTGCACAGCCCTCATAAATTTTGTTCTGGTACTATGAAAGAAATGATCAGTTTAAATTAAAATAGCTCTGCAGAAAGTGGTAATCATTAATTATGATGGCAATTTTCTCAATTTAGGTCAGCCAAGCACATTACACTTTAGTAGGCATCCTCTTGCTGATAAAAGATAAAACTGGAATTTCTACCAGTGTAATCAGTTATGATATTATAGACTTTATTATTATTACTATCATCACTACTAGAAAATCAAGGTTGTAACTTTTTCCAGAGTATTTAACAATATTCTTGAATAAACTAAGTCCAAGTTTTAACAATATCCTAAGTATAAGGGCTCTTAAATAAATATAATTTTTTCATTTTATGTAGTATTGTTTTTCTAATTTCATAAATATTTATCAGCTCTCATCAAAGTTGTTACATATCACACAACAATAAAAACAAGTTAATCAACTATTAAATTCAAAATAATACATTTTAGGACTAATCCTAACATATAGTAAACATAACTGTTTCTAAATCTTAAAAATAAAAATATATGCATGATTTAACATGTATTATTAATAAAATATAAATTTTAACATTAATTGAAAAAGTACAGATTAAACCATTATTTTGGAAATAAACTTTCAATGTAACATTCCAGCATCTGGCAAAAGTCCAATCCAACTGACTCTGTCCACCCAACTGATATTAAAGTGCACAAGTAACAAGGAGTCTATACTGAGTTAATGAAGCGAGGTCCAGAACCAGATACTGACCATAAGGCCAAAGGCCAATAAAAGAGCTGCAAACAACATTACGTGGCTTCTGCCTTTTTTCTCCAAAGATGATGAGTGAAACAATGGTCAACTAGGGGAATGACCGCCTCTCTACTGGCTCACTACGCAAGCTGCAGATTGGAGAAACAAGGATTATGATTTGGTAAGGAGGAAACCGGCAGCATTTGATCATATCCAATAAACCGATAGGTTGTCATTTGCAGGGGAGGAGAGAACAACATTTTATAAAAGAGAAAGATTTCTAAACCTAGTTGACAGTTCAGTCATCTGGAAGAGATTTTAAGATTAAATTTAAATTTTCAAAGTGAAGCCCTTAGCATTTCCAGAGACGGGAACTGAGAACATGGATAGAGATTGTTTTTCAAGTACCCCAGGTGATTCCAATGACCAGTCAGGTTTGGAGAAACTGGGGATCAATGAGACTTTACTCAGGGTCCATCCCTGTAGATACACAGATTACCACCATTAACTCTACAGAGTGCTGTAAATCTTCCATAAGGTGTTTTATATCACAGGAGTGTTTTAATCAGCTATAATATATAAGGATGATCAAATGTGCCTAATGAAAAAGAGGCTTGGGGGAGGGCCCCGTGGCCGAATGGTTAAGTTCAAGCACTCCGCTGCAGCAGCCCAGGGTTTCGCTGGTTGGATCCCGGGTGCAGACATGGCACCGCTTGGCAAGCCATGCTGTAGTAGGCATCCCACATATAAAGTAGAGGAAGATGGGCATGGATGTTAGCTCAGGGCCAGTCTCTTCCTTAGCAAAAAGAGGAGGATTGGCGGCAGATGTTAGCTCAGGGCTAATCTTCCTCAAAAAAAAAAAAAGATAAACTGCTTCTCCACACTTTGAAAGTGCATTGGATTTTGCCCTTGTCAACTACAATCTAATCATATCAGACCAAACGAGTAAAATTTGGCCCTGCATCAGCGATGTCAATAATTTTCACAACAGGCAAATAACCACATTCAAAGTAGATTTAAACTAATTCTTAAGTAAACAGAATAGGGTTAACCATAATCTAGGTAATGATACTGTTTATCTCCAGATTTGTCCTATGTGCTATCATTCGGGTGATACTTCTTTATCTAAATAATTTCAGTGAGATATTTATTACTCAATTATACACTTGTGCCTGGAGAAATGGCCGCCAGGAAGGCAGTTGTCAACAACTCTGTAAGACTCCACCAATCCCAGTGGGATGCTTTTCAAATCTGAATTGAGGTCACTTGAAGAAATGTCAATGAGGATTGTTTAAATTACCTTACAAAAGCCCTTTTTAATTGTACTGAAGTCAGGCAAAACATAGTCTATCATTACTGTATTTTCTTCTCCTTTCAACCTGGAAAACGAAATAGAGATTTATGAAATATTTTAACTATGTGTAACATTACCCACGAATCAACTTTCTAATTCTTAGATTACCATTATACATACTTTGCGATATCCATGTCTTTATAAAAATCCTGAGACACATAGCATACATCTTCTTTTACTTGATTAATCACATGTGTTTCATCCATAACATGCAGCTGTCTAAACAGAAATAAAAATTGTAAAATTTGAAATAGAAAAAAATTTAAATATAACTTACAATTATCATTTAAAATATTTTTTCTGGAAATAAATTTTCAGGTAACTGATTTTTTTAAACATTAAATTCTTGAATGTTTAAAATATTTTTAACTTTATGAAATACTCTCATTTCCATTATCTTATTTAAGTTCCACATTAACCCTCTGAGGGCAAATATTAGTCCAGTATACAGAAGGAAATTGAAAACAAGAGGTTTTAAGTGGTAAGGTTTATCCAATTAAAGAGCAAACTTTTTTCTCCAATCATTCTGAATAGAATCTTACTAAAATGCCTTAACTGTTTGCATTTTCTTTTCCCATTATAGAAGTATTATGAGTCAGCACACAGTACCTGGCACATAGTAGAAGCTTAATAAATATGTGATGAGCCAATCAAAGAATATACAGGCCTGATATAGAAAACAAAGATGTTTTAAAAAATAAGCAAAAATGTGAGGGTATTTCCTTTGAATATTTTCTCTGCACAGAGATTATACACTACATGTTTACTTCTTGTTTTAGACTAAACATTATCTCGTGAACATTTTCTTAGGCTATTACATATTCATTAAAAATGAATTTTTCACTGCCCTATAATATTCAATCAGAGGGATCTATTAAAACGTATTTCTCGATGTTCCTAATGTTGTACGTTTAGCTCACGGAAGAAAGATATTGGTGTGTTTATAAACACGGACTTTGGAGTCAGAGACTTAGGTTTAATCACAACTTAGTAGCCAAGTTACTTCTTTAGGACTCAATCTCTTCAACTCTAAAAAGGTAATAAGATCACAGATTTAACACAGCTGTAAGAAGTAAATGATCCTAATCATACATGTAAAGTGTTTAGCATAGTCCCTATATTCAATAAACAAAAAACATTATTGTTTCTATCTTTTTGCTTTTGTTGTAGCAAGCATCTTCCTATACACCATAATTCACCTTCTCTAAGATGCACCACTGCACCAATGAGAAGAAAAAATGCTATTTAAACTATGACAGTTCTAAAGTACCAATGACTAGAGGATTCATTCCTATTTCAGAGGTTAAAATGTGAAAAAAGTACAACTCAGAATCGAGGAAATATAGGTATTTTTATCTGTATCTCTGATCAGCTCAATTATTTAATCATACTCTAGGATTCGAGGACACAGAATATGAAATACTTTTAGTCTCTTGGTATTTTGCCAAATTGTTTACCAGAAAAGTTATTTCAAGTTATGCTTTGATCAGCAGCAAATAAGAGTATCCATATCACAAATCTGCAACATCATCTTTTGAAGAAAATCCTGTAAATTTGGATTGTAAAAATGACATTTTAATTTGCATTTTCTCTACTAGGAAGTGCCATGAGGAATTCTTGTCTGTTTTGTTAAGTCATGTATCCCAAGCTCCTAAATAAATGCTCAATAAATATGTGAAGTGAATCTGTGATTACTACAGGTGTTCAACATTTTTTTATGCCTGGGAATTATCCATTTATCCATTTATATGCTTTGACTATATGTCACTTACTAATGCTTATCTATCTGTGCCACTGACCATGTGTTTTCTGAGAATTATCTAAACATTTTATACCAAGGTGGTGTTTTTCTTATTGATTGGTAAGAGCTCTTAATATATTAAAGATAACAACCTTGTGTCATATTTGTTCCAGGTTTATTTCTCAGGTTTATGTTTAGTTTTGTTTGCAAAGGCTTTTGAGATACATAAGGTTTAAAATTTTTATGTAGTTAAACACAAAAGCTGACGAAATCTATCCTGTTTGAAGTCACTGGTTTTCCAGACTAGGAGACAAAAGGGGGGTTAGGGTGCTGGTAAGAGTCTGCTTGAACTCTGTTCTGATTACCTGGATATGTTCACTTTTTGAAAATTCACTGAGGTGTACATACAAGGTTTGTAAACTTTTTTCTATGCTCTACTTCAATAAATGTTTTTTTTTCCTTTTTTATTTATTATTTATTTATTTTATTTATTTTTATTTATTTATTTATTTTATTCTGAGGAAGATTAGCCCTAAGCTAACATCTGCTGCCAATCCTCTTCTTTTTGCTGAGGAATACTGGCCCTGAGCTAACAACTGTGCACATCTTCCTCTACTTTATATGTGGGATGCCTGCCACAGCATGGCTTGATAAGCAGTGCATAGGTCCGAACTCAGGATCCGAACTGGCAAACCCTGGGCTGCTGAAGCAGAATGTGTGAACTTACCTGCTGTGCCACCGGGCCAGCCCCAATAAATGTTTATTTTTAAAAAAAGTTGTATATATGGGGCCGGCTCCGTGGCCGAGTGGTTAAGTTCGCGTGCTCCGCTGTGGCGGCCCAGGGTTCGGATCCTGGGCGCGGACATGGCCTTGCTAGTCAGGCCATGTTGAGGTGGCGTCCCACATCCCACAACTAGAAGGACCTGCAACTAAGATATACAACTATGTACTGGGGGGGTTGGGGAGATAAAGCAGGAGAGGGGGAAAAAAAAAAGATTGGCAACAGTTGTTAGCTCAGGTGCCAATCTTTAAAATAAAAAAAAGTTGCATATAGAAGTTATCCTTTATTATTTTTTCTACTGTATTATTTTTCATCTACTGTTTTATGCTTAGAAACTCAGTTAAATATTTTCTTGTTGTTGTTTTATTTTTATATTTAAGTCTTAAATCTATTTGAACTTTAGTGTATGAGGCAAAGTAAAATTTTAACTTTTCTCCAAACAGCCAACTTTCCCTGTATCCTTTTCTGAATAATTAGTCCCCTCCTCATTGCTTTCTGATGCTTCCTTTGGTATATATTAGTATTTTTCTTTTACATATAATGGTTGATTCAGGATTAACTATTCAGTCTCACTGATCCATTACTTAATCTTCATAAAAAGATTACCTTAATTATTACAATTTAAAAATGTTTTACCATCTACTAGAGAAAGTCTGCTTTCAATTATTCTTTTTCATAAATATTTCTAGGTATTCTTGCCAGTTTGTTCTCTTCAAGTTAAACTTCAACAGCCTTGCTTTTTAAAATATACCAATTTTTTTCATTCAGCGTGGAGGAATGATTAAGTGCACAGGCTCTATACATGGGATAAAATAGCAAAGAACTACACACACACATAAATGCATGTAAAAAAATGGTAAAAACTGCATATGATCTGTAGCCTAGTTAACAATACTGTACCAGTATCAATTTTATCATTTTGATATTGTACTAGTTATATAAGATGTCACTAAGGGTACATAGGGCTCTATGTACTATTCTTGCAACTTCCTGACTCTATAATTATTTCAAAATAAAACAAATTTTTTAAATGTACTAGAGCTGGGTGGCATAAGGACTGGGGAGTGATGGCTAAGGTAAGTGGGTTTCTTTTTGGGATAATGAAATGTTCTAAAACTGATTGTGATGATGAATGCATATACTAAAAACCATCAAAACTGTATACTGTAAATAAATGAATTGTACGATATGAGAATTATATCTGAATAAAGCTGTTAACTAAAAGTAATGATATGTAAGGCAGAAGGAGAAAAAGGAGGAAGGAAAGGTAGAAGGAAATGAGGACTCACTTATTTTCAAATATAACACAGAGGGGAGCTGAGAGATATTGACACTATCATGCTGACCAAAGTTAATGTAGCAAGATATTGAGATTTAAGAATTTAATTTGTGTTTTAAACACAATAAAATTAAAAATGATAGCATAAATAAAATTTAGGAGAAGAAAGAAGAGTTGGGAGGTGGGTAAGTACAGTAATTCATGATCCTTTAATAGTGGACAGTCAACTAATATTGGTTAATCCAGAAAAAGAAATATCAATAAATTATTAAGGCTTATAGAGATTAAAAAATAAAAGATATAGTTCAAATCTTATACTTTGTATGGAGTGGAACTGACATGAGAGACTGAAAGGGGAGGCAGAGATTTATTTTCCTTTTAGATCTTTATTCCTTTATATGCATTTTTAATTTGCTTTTCAATGTGCATGTACAACAACATTTATAATTTTTAAAATGTTATTAGTAAATTAAACTCCCTAGAATTTAGAAATGTCTTTTGGAGGACACTAACATATTTTATGTTAGGAAGCTTTTCAATTTGAACATCATTAGTATTTATATATGTGATACAGTTTTTTAAGCAATAATATAGAATTGCCCCCCGAAGGTACAGCTAAAGGTAAGAAATAATTTTACATTACTTTAAAAAGTTCATCACCAGTACCCTATCCTCCCAAAGAATCAAGGCTAAGTATTACCTGTAAGATATGATCTCCTTTAGATGATTGGTTAGAAGTTTTCCTCCCACATTTATCCTAAAAAGGGAGAATTCAAATTTGGTTCAGTTTATCACACATTTCCTTCAGTTTTATCCTAAGAAACAACATGAAAATTAAATGCAACTCACCGAATAATGGCTTCCTTTTTCTTTTTACTTCTACAATAAGGAACTATATGTGTAAAGGAATATCCACTATCTACAATGATACAGCATAATTCGGATGGATTATCTCGGAAATATCTATGTGCGCTGAGAGCCCCAGCTGTTAAAAAAAAAAGATAAGGGATTAAACACATTAAATGAAAGTATAATTAATTTAAAGCAATAAAGAAAGGTAGCAGACTAAGGCAAGCACAAAAGCACAAAACTTTATTTATAAGCACAAAAGCTTTATTTACAAGAAAAATGTTAATTTAAAGCACTATCCATAATTCCGTCACAAGCTCCTTGCAGTGTTTAAACTTTAAACCATCACATTTTTGTGGTAAATACAGTAAAAAAAAATTTGTGATCAATTTTTAAAGGTAAATATTCATTTCATAGTTCATTATAATTATTTTAAAAACATAATTTTATTGAGCATTTATTACATGCTAGGCACTATTCTGAACTCCATGAGTGTGTGTTTTCTCATCATCCCATTTTACAGATGAAGAAACTGAAACACAGAGAAGTTAAATTACGTGCCCAATGTCACACAATTAGAAAGTAACAGAGCCAGGATTCAAACCTAGGCTGTGTGACGCTAGAGCAGGGTTTATCAACCTCGAACTACTGACATTTTGAGCTAGATAATTCCTTATTTTGGTGGCTTTCCTGTGCACTCTAAGATGTCTAGCAGCATCTGTGTCCTCTACTCACTAGATGCCAGCAGCACCCTCCCAGTTGTGACAACCAAAAGTGCCTCCAGACTTTGCTAAATGTCCCCTGAGGAGCAAAATCGCCCTTGGTTGAGATTATTCTGGAGACTGTGCTCTTAACCATTATATTATATTGTGACTTATATAGACTTAAATTCCTCAAACTAAATATTTGAATACTTTCATTATAAAGTCATGTAATGTAATTCTAGCCTTGAATAAACTTATTTGTAAATGATATTTACAGATTGTCTTTCCTCATATTGGCAGCCTGAGCTATTAACATTATTTCAATCAATAATAACAATAGCAAACACATCAGTGACAGAAAAGATAACTACTTCAGAAACAATCTTTCAGAGATTAGAAATATGTGGCTAGTAACTTCATTAGAGAAATACATTAGGAAAAAAACAAGGTGAGAGAAGTCTGACTAGATAATCTCTAAAGGTCCATCTAGTTTTTAAATTCTATGTTTTATTTCCTTCAAATCTAAAAGAATGTCACCCAATATTCTTGGATTGTAAGTGTTTCTTTAGGCTATTCATATCCATATTCACATAATTCAATTTCAATCAAAACTTTAACTCACCATTTACTCTTAATACTGCTTGAAACTGGTATTCTTCAAATAGGATTTCATTCATTGATTCTTGAATTGAAGTGAAGTTAAAGTATGGTTCTGTGATAATAATATTAGTATCTAAAAAATCCACCTATGAAAAAAAAATCCCAGTTGTATAACTTTGTATTTATAATTCTAAATACTTGTTTTACATATATTAAACAAACATTTAATCCTCACAATAATCCTAAGAGATAGGTCTTATTATTATCCCCATTTAACAGGTGAGCAAACTGAGGCACAGAAGAGTTGAATTAGTTACTAAGGGTCATATAATTAGTTAGTGACATAGCTAGGATTTGAACTCAGGAAGTCTGGTTACAGAATTCATGCACTTTAACTATTATTTGACTTTAACTCTTTTTTTGTTGTTGTTAAAGACTGGCCCTGAGCTAACATCTGTTGCCAATCTTTTTTTATTCTTCTTCTCCCCAAAGCCACCCAGTATACTGTTGTATATTCCACCAGGTCCTTTTAGTTCTGCTATGTGGGACGCCGTCTCAGCATGGATTGACGAGTGGTGCTAGGTTCACTCCCAGGATCTGAACCAGCGAAACCCTGGGCAACCAAAGCGGAGCATGGAAATTTAACTACTTGGCCACTAAACCAGCCCCAGATTTTAACTCTTTTTTTTTTTTTGAGGAAGACTGGCCCTGAGCTAACATCCATGCCCGTCTTTCTCTATTTTATATGTGGGACACCTACCACAGCATGGCTTGCCAAGTGGTGCCATGTCCACACCCAGGATCCAAAGCGACGAACCCCAGGCCGCCGAAGAGGAACATGTGCACTTAACCACTGCCCCACCAGGCCAGCCCCTGGATTTTAACTCTCTTAATGGTATCACATTAACAAAATGGTTCTGTCAAATTGTTTAAACTAATTAGGCAAAAGTAATGAATGGGGCTGTTATTTTGTTTTTAAAAGTTAACAGGCAAGAAGCTGTAGGATATTTAATATTTACATAATTCTCTCCCACAGACTTTTAAGAAGCATTAAAATTTGAACATTCTCTCAGTATACCTAAAGTCACACTACAGACATTAAAAGCACAAAATTCTCATATTGTAATATTCACATATTCAGATATGTAGACAAAGATGTTTTGTGAAAATTAAAATAATATAGTGAACTGGTCAAACAATAGCAGAAATCTGAAAATTTTAATCTTGAGTTTCATATAGACTCATATAGACCAAACCTCAAATTCCACTTCAACATGGAAATTCTATCCACTTGCACTTTATTTAGAAAATCAAAGCTTAGCACAGTATATTAAGTGATTTAAATATATACTAGAAACATATTCAAAGTTTATAAATCTTAAAATATAAGTTCTCTAATTTTTCATTTGAATAAGGTGTGGAAATAGAAATTTGAATACATACTCCAATTTGTTACCTGATACATTTCTTTTCCAAAAAGGTAATCCCATACTTGTCTTTGAACATCCCAATTCACCAAGTAGCCCTAAAAAATTTTTTCATAAATTATCAAAAGTATTTGAACACTTTTACAAAGTCAGATTAATATATTCTATATCACTTATTTCTACCTCCTTATGGTTACCTTCACCAGTCTAATGCTATTTGAATTTCAAACCAATTGTGTCGGTATGTTTTTCTCTTTTTAAAAGTTCAAAAAATTACAAATAAACAATAATCAAAATGTCAAGGGTTCAAAAAACATACCATATGTAGATATCTCTCTATACTTATTTTCTTTAATGTGTTCATCTCATTTAGCTTTAACATCAACAAGTAAAATTTAGTACCCACAATCAATAGCTAAACCAAGGTCATTTACTTTTAAGAAGACAATTTAATTTCAATTTTTGGTTTTAATAAGATCTTATTTAAAATTTAAATAACTTTCTCAGAGATCTAAAAATATTTTCATATGTACAAAATCTTACATATACATTTAAAAATTATCTTTACATTTAGGTCTATAATGCTAGAAATAACACACAGTTGAATTACCTTCTGAAAAGGAAGAATGTAAAAGAGTCCAGAAGGGTCCTTTATTTCATCTATCTGGTTAGCAGTAAAAGTTTTAAGACGTGCCGTTTTTGACCTGAACTGACAGTTAGGAATAACTCTACAAACAAAGAAACAAATAATATAATTATTCCCTAAATACTTAGTTCCTAAAAATACATTTACTTAATCACCACCCTCAATGTCAAAAAATATCCAAAACCAGTGTTTCTCATTCTGTCTTCAAATAATAAAAAATGTCTTTTTTCTTTTAAAGTTCTAGTATGTACCAGATTCTGTACTAGACTTTTTATCTTTCTCAAATAATCCTTAAGAAATCCTTACAGGTGGGTATTGGTTCTGCCACTGCACAGATGAGAGCCGGACCTTAGGTAAAGTTCCTGGTCTTCCTGGCATTGATGCAGAAATTCTTACTACAATTCTGGTAAAAAAATTTACAAGTTCAAAATTCTGGCTATAAAATTAAGTTTCCATGAAGTCAAAGATTTTCAATCAGCAAGATGCTACAGGGTACAGAAGTAGGTAATAGTTTTAAATACGGCTGCTGCCCATCATTAGCTTATACAGTCTGGTCAGGAAGGCAAACTACAGCCATCATCAATCGGACACACATGAACATATGGATAGGGGTGTGTGTGTGTTTGTGTGTGTGTATATACACAAAGAGAGAAGATATTAGGATAATACTGTAAAAATGTTTTATACCTGCTTACTTCGCTTATGATGCTGTAATATTCTCCATAGGTTTCAATATTCTTTGAGGACATGATTTTCAAAAGCTGCGTTGCAGTCAATCTTCTGGTTGTATTATAATTTTACTCAATTTCTATTCTTGATTATTTAGCTTGCTTCCACTTTTTTTTTGCTACCATACACAGTATCTAATAAATAATATAGAGCATTCTGTACTTTTATCAAATACCTCTAATTTATTCCTTAGCTATCTGATAATTGCTGTGTCAAAGAATAAGAACAATGACACACACTGCCAAAACGTTTTCCAGAGGACTGTAACAATTTACATTCCTACAGTTCGCTTGTCCTCTTAAAAAAGAGAAGAAAAAGGAAAGTAGGGAAAAAGGAAAAGAAAAAACTAAATCCTCTGTGAATATGATAGAAGAAAAGCATGACTTTAAATCTGCCTATTCTTTTTTTTTTTTTTCCTGAGGAAGATTCGCCCCAGCTAATATTCACTGCCAACCTTCTTTCTGTATAAGAGCTGCTGCAACAGCATGATCACTTGACATACAAGTGGTGTACGTCGGCGCCCAGGAAGGAAACCGGGCCGCCTAAGCGGGGCGTTGCGAACTTGAACACTAGGCCACCCAGGCTGGTCCTAAATCAACTTATTCTTTATTCAAACATACATATATTATGAATGCCACTGTAGTATTTCTGTTTAATCGACTCCAATCAACCAGGTCACTCAATGAACACTTCAAAAGGCTTACGCATCAAGCCTTCAGTCTCCAGCCACTAGGACAGTGGTTTTTACACTTTTTTTAAAATCACAGAACCTTTTAACGATCTGACGAAAGCTATAACCGCGTCCCCAAGAAAATGCATATACACAAAGTGTTGCCCACGATTCCTGAGGGTTCATGAACTGTGCGACCCTCTATCAGGAACTGCTTCTCTAGAAAACTATTTTCCTGAGCTATTTCCTGTTACGAAACAAAACACACGTCCCACTTCCGGGACCACGCAGCCCAAAATTAACACCAAAATCCCCCTTCAAAGCACGCTAACCACCCAGCTCCTACAAGAGCATCCCTCTGGCTCAGGTTAGGGCCGCGCGGGGGCGTTTGCAATTTATCGATGTCCCAAGATGAAGGGTAGCATGTGAAACCACTAGGCATAGACGCCTTGTCCCCTTGAAGCAAACACTTACGAGACATTTTCATGGCTGTAACCAATTTTGGCGTTGTAGGCTCCGTTATCCAGGACTAACGTCGTCATTTTTGCCCAAAACACACCACCGTTGCTTTCTCTTCCCGACCCTTCTACTCACGCTTTTTCCGGCACTCTATGGTTTGCAAGAGGGGGGCCTAAGGGCGCTTCCGGTCTCCCATAGCAACGGAGGACGCCGGAAGCCAGACACTGCACTGCCGCCCTGGCTGTCAGGGAGAGTTGTGCCTTGCTTCCAAGTGTAACCCGTACACGTCGTGGCGAGATCCAACAAGAGTGTAAACTGTTAAGTGCTTTTTCGCCCATTGCGGATGTGTTTTTTACTTCGCAGATTGACTCACTCCTGCAAGTTTCTTCCAACCCATGTAGCGAACCAGCTTTGTTTGTTTGTGTATGTATTGGAGTAATATTGTTCAGACAGTGACATTTCTTGAAGAATAAAGTGCAAAACCATACGCAGCATGGAACTGGATATGAGGTCTCTTCAGCCTCAGTCCCCGCAACTGCCCGTGTGACTGTAGGACCCAACCACCCTGAAATACAAATATGCTGTTGCATCAGCTGCCTTGCTTTTTCACTCACTCTCACACTCTTCCCCTACTTGTTCTTTAGGACGGAGCTATTTCTTATCTAAAAAGGCTTCTTGACATCTTACTAGGGCTGACTCCTGTATCATAATGGTTAAGAGAATGAATTTTGGATTGGAATCTGGACTCTGCCATAAAATGGCTGTGTAACCTTGGGCGATGAAGATAATAAGGGTTAATACTTACACAGCGCTTACTTAATGCATGTAGGTTAACCGTTCTAAGAGCTTTACATATATTAACTAATTTAATCTTTACAATTTATTAAGTAGGTACTATTATTGAAATCAAAGAGATAGTGGTTAAGAGTGATGTCTTTGCATTCAAATTTGTAGGTCAGTGGCCGGCTAGTGGCATAGTAGTTAAGTTTGTGGGCCCCACTTTGGAGGCCCTGGGCCCTGGGTTTGGATCCGGGGTGTGGACCTATGCACCACTCATCAAGCCATGCTGTAGCAGCATCCCACATACAAAATAGAGGAAGATAGGCACAGATGTTAGCTCAGGGCCAATCTTCCTCACCAAAAAGAAAATTCTAGGGCAAATCCTGGCTCTGCCACTAGTCGGGTTGGACAGGTTAGTTAACCTCTGCACGCCTTAATTTCCTCATCTGTAAAATGGGATAATATTAATAACACCCCAATGCATAATTGTTTTATGAAAAGTAAATGATAAAAGTCAAGTACCTGGTTGTAGTTATCATCATCATCATCATCACCATCATCATCATCCTCTTACATGATCCTTCTCTGTTAACTTGGATACATGGCAAACTCCTTCAAGTCAGGCACTCTATTCTATTGATGTCAATATCCTTTCGTTTCAAAAAATCATTGAATGTCCAAAGTTAATTATTTCCAATTTTAGTCATTCTGTTTTCTCTAACTTAATATCAAATTGGTAAGACCCCTTACTCCAAACATGGAAAGAATATTTTATAAATCTTACATCATAGAGCAGGCATCATTTCTATTCATCTCTCATCTTTTAAAATATGCTTTTTCAGGGGGCCAGCCTGGTGGTCTAGTGGTTAATTCGTATTCTCCGTTTCAGCTGCTTGGGGTTTGTAGGTTCAGATCCCAGGCACGGATTTACACACTTCTCATCAAGCCATGCTGTGTTGGCGTCCCATATATGAAGTAGAGGAAGACTGGCATGGATGTTAGCTCAGGGACCATCTTCCTTACACACACAAAAATATATATATGCTCTTTCAATCCTGTCTCTCCTTCTGGTTATCATTTATCATTACCCTTTGTCATTGAAGCTTCTCTTTTTGCTTTTCTCAACTTACATGCTCCTCATTCAAGGTCATTTTTGTTGTTGGCCTCAGCTCTCATTAAATACTGATAAATCCTAAAGCAGAATTTCCACCCCTAACTATAATCTGAATGTTTCTAACCAGACATCGTGAGATAACCTTAAAGGCAACAAATCCAGAACTGAATCTTATCTCCAAAACTGCTGGTTCCAGCTATATTACTTATCTCAATTAGTGGTGTGCCCCTCAATATCTACCCAGGGCCCCAAGCTAGAAATCTCAATTACCTTCAACCCCAGTCCCTGAAAATCTCTGGAGTCTGTCCTTGACCTTCTTTCATTTCTACTCATACTGCATTATTTCTCCCCCAAAATAATGCCACTGCCTTCTCAATGCCCCTCCTGCCTCCATTCTCTTCTCATTATGAACTGCCCTCTGTACTGCCAGCATAATTAGCAGCAAGTATTTTTCTAAATCAGAAATTTGACCATCCTCCCTAAATTCACTCACCATGGAAGTCTTCCATGGTTTAACATTGCCTGTGAAATAATGTCCATATATTTGCAATCTCATTGTCTTAAAACCCATCTTACAGTGTGTACTGGTAAATGTTTAACAAGATCTCCAGGAAAAAAAGCCCTGATTTGTAGTGTTTACTACCTTCTGTGGTGTAATACTGTCACCGTGGCTGATTTCAAGCTATCCTGAAGTCACCAAACACCAAACACAGAGCTGGGAAGAGATGCACACAGTTGGTTCGCATGAGCCAGTATGAGCCAGCTTCAGTACAGACTTCTCAGTAAAAGTTCAGACACTATTCACCTTCGCACCATACACTCTCTCCTCTCCCAGGTTTAGCACAATAATCTCAGGTATATAAGTATTACCTCTAACATATGGACATGTACTTTTGGCAATGTATAATTTTAAAAGAGTTAAAAATATGACTGATATAAATACATAATGAACATGTGCAACAGATTTATTTGTCATAATAATGAGTGAACTAGCTTTACACCCTATCTTGTTGGTTCTTGCATTAATTTGTTAATAAATCTTTGATGAACATTCATTATATATTTGTATGACAGTCACGTTTTTAACTTTTTGAAAATTATACTTTGATAATTAAAAAGCAATTAACAAAAGTGTAAACTAATTTAAAACACTGAATTTATGGTGGTTTTATGACATTAGGTGTTCTCTTAATCCAGCCAGAGTAAAATTGAAATCATTACCACGTATTTTCTCAATAAGATTCTATAACTACAATTATTAACCTGTGGTGTTCTTTGATACTTATTACTTTGAAAAGGAATTCATGTTTTGTTCTAGCCACATTAGGCCACTTGCCATTTAGAATCCGTGAACTTTGACACTGACACTTCTGTCCTTTTTCAAAATTGGGTTCCACCTGCCTCAAACATCCTTTTCTGCCTAGCGAATTAATAATAACAGCAACCAGTCTATTGTGTCTAGCACTGAGTACTTTACCTTCAATAGCTTGATTAATCCTCACAACAACCTCATAGGGCTCCAGAGGTTCACTACTTTTCCTATGATGACATGGCTAAAAATCCGCAGAGCTAGGTTTCAAATCCAAGCCGTTGACTTCAGGATCAGTTCTTTTAACATATTAAGCCGACTTATTCTTATCTTTGAAGTAGTATCACCATTGTAAATCCATCTCTGACTTAACGAGACAGAATGAATCACTCCTTCCTTTGTGTTCTCATAGCACTTTGCTTCTGTTTTCAATACTACTAGTGATAATAACAGCATTTATTAAGAGTTTGCCACGTGCTAGACATCTACGAAAACTTTATATGCATAATATCATTTAGTTCTCACAAAATTCTGACCTAACTACTATTATCTCCAATAGATGAGGTAACTGCGGCAGACAGAGATTAAATAACTTGCCTAAATTTACAGAACCACAAAGTGGCTGAGCAAGCACTTGAACCAGAGTCTAATGACAAAGCACTAAGAATCTACCTTCCATGCTGGGCTGTTAACTCTTTGATGAAAGGAACAGATTTTTGTTCTCGTTTAGGCAACCCTAGATACTTGAACAGTGCCTAGTTTACAGTGCATGATAAACGTTAAGTGAGTAAATAGTCAACTCACATGTACCTTTCTCTTCCTTGAGGAGGGCTTAGGGCTTGGCTGTTGTTGGATTATGTGTAAACTATTCCCGGGCCCTCCCCGCGACGTACCCACACATCTCCTGATACATTCCTCAGAGGCAGTATAATTTCTTTTCCTCTCTTAGACATCACTAGGTGGTCATTTTCACCTGTGAGGAAAGGCGGTTTGGGGCTGGGTGGGGTGGAGGTGCACAACTGTAACAGTTTTGCTCGCCATTTCAGCAATTTCCTTCCTTTCTACAGAAAGTTTTAAGTGAACATTTACATCCTTATTTCTTTAGATACAACACCCTAGTGAAATGGGTAAGGCTGATATCATTAACCTATTTTATAGATGATTAAACTGAGGCCAAAAGTAAGGAAATTATTTCCTCCAGGTTAACACAGCTAGAAAACACTAGCGCCAGGAACTGAATTTAGGCCTTCTAATTCTCAAGGACTCTATTTAAAAAATAGACACGTTGTCAACTTGGCCTTCCCTTAGGATTGGAATAGCCAGAGGAAACATTAAATTACAACAATTAGCCGAGGGAAAGCAGAATATTTTAGCAAAGGAGAAGAAACTGAGGAAAGAATATGAAGAATAGAGCAAAGCAAGCCGAGCAGTTTGTGAAGTAAATTCCCAGGAAATGAAAAAAAGAAGGGGAGGTGGAAGGATTCAGTGTTAGAGGAGGAACACGACCAGAAGGTCGCGGGGGAGGACTAAAGCCCGAGTTTCTGTGATTGGGAGTTAAAGCTACCAGGACCGCCAGGGCAAAGGACTGCGCCGCCGGAGCCCCGGGCAGAAGTGGCGGGGCGCGCCCCTCCCGCGCCTGCCCGGAGCCTGCGTCGTCCCGCCCCGCGCCCGCCCTCCCCCGGTCTCTTAGGTGATGCTGCAGCCAAGATGGCGCCGGCGGTGGCCGCGGTGTCCTGAGCGCGATGCTCGGGATCCTCGGCGGCAGCGGCGGCGGCTGTGGCCTCGGCCGGGGCCCCAGGTCTCTCCCGGACGTGAGCGCTCAGGCGCCTCTCCTCCGGCCGGGGTAACCCGGACAAAGAGGAGACGGCCACGGGAGAGGAGGCCGTGAGGAACGCGGCGCCTCCCGCCCCGGCACCATGGCTG